GTCCCACTTAGTGGGCAAAGGTAAGATTGGAGATATATAGACACAATGAACACTTTCTCAATAAATGTACACATATAATTCCCTTTAAAAGACATCATATTAGGGGCTGGAGAGATGGCTCAGAGGTTAAGAGCACTGGCTGTTTTCCTCCAGAGGTCCTGAGTTCAATTGGCTCACAACCATCTGTAATGAGTTCTGGCTCCCTCTTTTGGCCTGCAGGAATACAATCAAACAGAACACTGTATATAAATAAATAAATAAATAACTCTTTAAAAAAAAGACATATTAACTCTATGTCCATCTAACATCATGAGGGGTAATCTCTTCCTTCTTTATACATATCTGCAAATAATGTCTCAAGCATGAAAAAAACTAACTCCAATTTTCTTCAACACATTTACTTGTTTGTTCAATCATTTTATTTACTGTAAGAGATCATTGTCTCCTTCTCACTCAGAGGGTTCTGACACAGGACAACTGTCATTAGAGCATGTTTCTGCCCCACTGCTGCAAAGCTAAGAACTCTTATGCCTTTGTGCAGTAACCCCAGTCACCAAGCACCTTAGCACCCCATCTGCCCATTGCGTTCCCCTTGTGCCTATTCTGCAAGTTGCAACTCTGATTAGATTACAAAAAGAATTTCAAATTGCTATAACTATCTCAATGCAAGCAATGTAAAATGTAATAGAGATATTGGGTTTGCCTGTGTGTGCATATGGATGCTCCCTTCATTTAGGTAAGAAATGTAAGAGAATATAGGTTAGGCCAAAAATGTGTTAAGATTTAGATTTATCAAATTCAATGGGGGAATAAGACTGACAAGTGGAAATATATAATGGGTAGCTGGAAATGTAAGTCTGGAGTTCAGACAGAGGTATATATAGAGAAATAGATTAGTTTGTAACTGCACCGAGAGGCTTATGAATGAATTTTAGAAGGGACAGACAGGGAATAGGGAATAATAAAAAATAGAGTAACAAAGACCAAAAGTAGATTTAGAAGAATGACCAACTGTGTCAAGCTAAGGTTTAATCACAGTTTCTAAAAACCATAGAAGTTTGACTACATACTAGGCACTGGTGACTTTTAGAGCAGTGATTTCAAATGCAGTGTACACAAAAGTCAGGATGCAGAGTTCCATGTATGGAAAATAAAGAAGCAGCCAGCCATGGTGATATATGCCTGTAATCTCAAGACTTAGGAGGTAGAGGCAAGAAGATTGCTAGATTGAGGCCAGTTTGGGTTGTAGCGTGAGGCCCTATCTATAAAAAAAAAAAAAAAAAAGCTTAAAACAAACAACAACAACAAAACCAGAGGGGAGCCAGGCGGTGGTGGCGCACGCCTTTAATCCTAGCACTTGGGAGGCAGAGGCAGGCAGATCTCTGTGAGTTCGAGGCCAGCCTGGGCTACAAAGCGAGTTCCAGGAAAGGCGCAAAGCTACACAGAGAGACCCTGTCTCGAAAAACCAAAAACAAACAAACAAACAAAAAAAAAAACCAACAACAGAGGGGAGAATACACTTATCTAAACAAGAACCAGCTCTTCCCATCAGAGTTTTGACTGTGATTCAAAATGCAGAATCAGAGAGTTGTGTGTAGGAATGCAATATTTTGTACAAGGAAAACCATATTGGTGTAACTGGGAAAATAATCACACATCTCATGCATATCGTGTTCCTTCTGACGATCAACACTGATGAAAAAGTAACCTTAATGGTTACTTACGATAATCTCATTTTATTCATGAAAATGAAACAGACTTGTGTTCATAGTTGCCCTATAAAAATATTCAAATAATTTTATTTCTCCCCTCAAGTTGTCTCTTGATAAAAGATACCCTCCTCCTCTTTTTTTTTTTTTCTGAGACAAGGTCTCACATTGTAGCCCAACTGACTGGGAACTATGTACCTCAGGCTGGCTCTGAACTTGTGGTAATTCTGCTGCCTCAGTTCCCTGACCTCTGGGATTACACATGGCTCACCCATCACTCTTTTATTATTTCATAAAATGGGGCCATACTTCCTGTGTGTGTGTGTGTGTGTGTGTGTGTGTGTGTGTGTGTGTGTGTGTGTCCCAAAGCTCATCTAAGTTGCAGATGTTAGCAGTGTGTTCCTTTTCACTGCAGAGTAGTATTCCATGGTAAGAATGGCTTGTTAAACCATTTCCCCCACTACACAACATTTGGGTTGTTTCTAATCTGAGGCTATCACAAATAAAGCTGACACAAAAATGTCTGTATAAGTTGTTTTTGCTTTTTCCAAGAAAGTCCTATTGATGGATCATGTTAAGCGTATGTTTAACTTTATAAGGATTTCCAAACTCGTCTACCTAATAGCTGTATTTTACATTCCTTTCATTGGTATATGCAAAATTAGTTTGCACCCTCGGTAGTATTTGATGTTTTCACTATTTTCTCTTGAGCAATCCTGGTAAGTAATCGCCATATCACACCATAGTTTTAATTTGCATTCCCCAATGATGTATGAAATTCACTATATTTTCACATCTGCCTTCTTTTTTTGTTCACATCTGCCTTCTATATGCAGTCCCTTTGGTGAAAATGTTCATGTCTTTTCTCATTTTCTACTGGGACTGTTTATTTTTGAGTTTTGAGCATATTATCTTTCCCATATTGATCAGATATTACATGGTTTGCAAATAATTTCTTGCTTGTTCTCTTTATTTCTTTACAGAATATAAAGTTTTAATTTTGACAAAGTCCAATATATTCACATTATTTTCTTGTGGACTGTGCTTTTGAGGGGAAGTTTGAGAATTTGACTCCTAAAATTTTTTCTTGAATGATTTTTTTCTAAAAGTTTTCTTACATTTAAATCCACAATACATTTCGAGATACTTTTAGAATTTATTTTGTTGGCCTGTGAAGATTCAGTTTGTTGAAATGACTGTCCTTTTTTTCCTTGAATCATTTTTATACTTTGTCAAAATTAGTCAAGCATGCTATTGCGGGTTTATTGCTGGATTTTCTTTTCTGTTCCATTGATTTATATATCTGTTCTTACAGTACCTTGATTGCTGCTACTTTATAAATCTTGGAGTTATGTAATGTAAGCCCTCCAACTTTATCATCTTCAAAATTGATTTAGCTTAATAAATTGTATCCAGGTATTTCGATCTACCACATTTTTTTCCCTCCTGCTTTATTCTAGGAAAGAGCTCTTCTATAAGCTTCTTGTGACTCTTGCAAATGCTTCTGGTTTTGTTCCAGCTTGTCCTCCAACCACTGCGGTAGAGGCCCACTGACCGCTGACATCTGACTGCACGCGTTTGGTAAACACAGAGCATTATGGATCTTGGTTACTGAGCCCAGATATCTAAGACTGTAAATCCTTCTGTATGCATCCTGTTTTTCCTGACACAGGATCCTCTGCAGCTCTACTGCTGACTGGGGCATACTTTCCCCATAGTCATATGAGGTTCATTATGGATTGGGATTTTGATTCTCTCATACTCTGAGCTCTTTTGGGCTTGTATGGATGGGAAGCTAGTATAGAGTACCTGACAGTCTTTGTGTTTTTATCTTCTATGAAACAAGAAAAAGAAAGTTCTACAAAGCCTTGATCCATCTTTTGGTACATGGCTTGTGTTATGGACTTCGACATGGGAAAGCCAAATGGCTATATGATAGTGGGAATAATACCAGCCAATAACTCTTAGGGGGTGACCTGTTACCTCTATTAAGGTTGCAGATGGCTGATCTGGAGAAATTTCTACAGGGTCCTTTCTCTTGTCACAACGTTGCAAGACAATGACAGAATGAATCTCAACAATTTGATGGTATCTATCTCCCATATACATAGACCCAGCACCCCTTCTCATCTGTGCTCACAGTATGGTTGAGACAAACTAGGAAAGCCTCAGATTCAAGATGAACCACCATCTTTGTTGGCTCAACTCACATCTGCCATGGGCCCACTGAAGCCTGGCCAATCGGGGGATCAGATGCAGCCTTCCCAGCCTGGAGGTCAGCCATCTGCCCAAGCCTCCTGACTTATTCTTTCAGTCAACAAATGTTTCTTAATATTTGCCAGGCAGAGTTGTGAATGTTGGGTATACAGTTGAATAAAACTGATTAACCAGGCAGGGCATTTCTTTAGAGAGGCCCTCCTCAATCACCCATCAAAGAGCACTTAGCTGTCCTCTCACAAGCATTACTTTCCGTAGTACTTACAAATACTACTCTCTCTCTCTCAAAAATTTGGGGTGTGTACTACTACTTCTAGATTATTAAACAGTGCCTAACTGGAAGGAATCATTTAAGTGTTGTAAAACTAAACACAAAATAGTTATTTGGCTTCTTAAAACCATAAACTATTAAAACATAAGCACAGGCCGGGAGGCGGTGGCGCACACCTTTACTCCCAGCACTCGGGAGGCAGAACCAGGCAGATCTCTGTGAGTTCGAGGCCAGCCTGGTCTACAGCGCGAGCTCCAGGACAGGCACCAGAACTACACGGAGAAACCCTGTCTCGAAAAACAAAACAAAAAACCATAAGCACAGCGACTTTCTCTCTGATGTTACCATACTATGCTAAGAACGGGGTCAGGAGCATGGGCAGCCTTCTGAATGTCAGTCGTTTTACTTAGCTTACGCCAGAATTTAGAGGGAACTCGTGTTGTTCCAGTTACAACAAGTGACTGAATTGGCATTTGGTACCTAGCAAGCCCTCAATCACCGCGGAACGAATAGATGACTCCTCATTTTACTAAGGGGCCTCGGGAAAGACTTGGCTAAGGAAGGTCCCCGAAAATGTTCAGGGACAGCACAGGGATCGACCAGTGGCAGGGAGGCCCGCGCGCGAGTTCAGTCTCCGCACGTGACTGGTTTAAACCAGTCCAAGCCTTTAGTACTTAAGTCAGTAAAGGGTAAACCGTTGCGAACGCATAGAAAACAGCTTCAGGTGTCTCGAGTCTCCTCGGGGCGGGACAGACGCTCCGCCCGTCACGTGACCACGCCCGCCACGTGACCCGGCTGGCTGCGCGCGCAGGCCCGAGAGGCGTTTCCGCCCGCCATTGCAGGGATGGCGGGGTCTCTCGGCGGGATGTTCTCCGGGCAGCCACCCGGTCCCCCGCCGCCCCCGCCGGGGCTCCCGGGCCAGGCGTCGCTTCTGCAGGCAGCGCCTGGGGCTTCGAGACCGTCCACCAGCACTTTGGTGGACGAGTTGGAGTCGTCATTCGAGGTAAGCCGAGACGTGGGCGTCTGGGTGCCGCCTTCACTCGCGTCCAGAAGTCGCGCGGGTTCACGCCCGTCTCGGGGCCAGCGTCCGGTGGATGCCGGCGATCGGAGAACGGAAGCCGCCCGCCGTTGGCTGGGTGCGGCTCGTGGCCGGTGGTCTCAGGTCTGCCCCCGCAACCGCCACATTTCTGGAGACAACTCCATCAACCTGGGGGCTCTTTCGATTCCCATCCGGCTTTGACCTCCGCGGGTCTAGTAGGAGCTGGTTTTCCCTGGATCGTAGCCTTTCGGCTGAGCTCCTCTGAGTTTTCAGGTCACATATTGTACGCTTTTCCCGGTTTTGTCTCTTCTGTGTAGACCTTCCAGTGGCCCCGGGCACTTTTTTTACCTGTTAGCTTTTCGATTTGGGTGCCCTACCCCTTGGGGTCTTTGGCTTTCGCTTGCTAGTCGTTTGGTAAATGCTTTGTTAGGACAAATTGAGCTCTTACTGTGGGAAGAAACTTTGGTAGAACGTTTGGGATCACCCCCTCTTCGTGGATGCAGAAACTAAGACTCATAAGTAACTTGTCCAAAGTCGGCCTTGGGTTTGTGCAAGTGAACACTAGTACTCCGGCCTTCTGCCTTTCCAGGTAAAAGGTGGCCTAGTCATACTAATGAAAAGCACGTTCTTTTTTTTTTTTTTGTTTGTTTGTTTGTTTGTTTTTTCGAGACAGGGGTTTCTCTGTGTAGTGTTGCGCCTTTCCTGGAACTCACTCTGTAGTCCAGGCTGGCCTCGAACTCACAGAGATCCGCCTGGCTCTGCCTCCCGAGTGCTGGGATTAAAGGCGTGCGCCACCACCGCCCGGCCGAAAAGCACGTTCTTTTAAAAAATAAATTGTATTGCGTTTATTTATTTGTTATTGGTGTGCTTGTGGAGGTCAGAGGGACAACTTGAAGTCAGTTCTCTACATCCATCATGTGATGGAACTTAGGTTTGGTAGCAAACGTCTTCCTACATGATTAACCATCCCAGCAGTCCTAGAAACTAGCCTTTTTATATACTTAATGCATTTTTTTTTTCTTTCATAAGACCGGCTGTCGATAAAGGCCCATGCTTTAAATGTTTTTCAAAGGATAATGGGGGCGGGAGGTGCTCTGGGAACTAAAGTTTCAGAAGTTAGTTTTGTTTGCTTGGTTGGTTAGTTGGTTGGTTTTTCGAGACAGGGTTTCTCTGTGTAGCCCTGGCTGTCAAACTTTTACAAGGGCGGTGGTGGCGCACGCCTTTAATCCCAGCACTCGGGAGGCAGAGCCAGGCGGATCTTTAAGTTTGAGGCCAGCCTGGGCTACCAAGTGAGTTCCAGGAAAGGCACAAAGCTACACAGAGAAACCCTGTCTCGAAAAACCAAGGGGAAAAAAAAAAACTTTACAGTACACAGGATGGGCAGTCTGATTTGTTGAGCTGTTGCAGGAGTGGGAAATCCTTGTGATGGTTTCTATACTTTAAATCTGGAGCTGGAGTGCCAGGTGGTGGCGGTGGCGGCGGCGGCGGCGGCGCATGCCTTCAATCCCAGCACTCGGGAGGCAGAGCCAGGCGGATCTCTCTGAGTTCAAGGGCTACAGAGTTCCAGGAAAGGCGCCAAAGCTACACAGAGAAACCCTGTCTCAAAAAACAAAACCAAAAAAAAAAAACAAAAAAAAAACACCACGCAAAAAAATCTGGAGCTGGGTAGAAGGATTTATTGCTTCCAAAAGGAACCTCACATGTAGTTATGGCTTACGATTCGAACCTAATTTGATTCGGTGTCTTGTGTTTTACACAGATGTTTGCTCACTGCTGGCAGGGCTCTTTCTCCCTATCCTGTATTCATTTGTCAGCTGCCATCCATGTTCTCATTCACCCTTTTTGTCTTTTCTGGGGGCTACTTGTGCCTCATGTAACCACTCACATGAATGGCTCAGTTGGTACCCTTTCAGAAGATCTTTGGGACTTGATTATCCATGTGGCACTAACCATTTATTACACAGACACCTCTTGGTTAAATGCCAAGTGGTATTCCAAGTACTTAGAATGTAGTGCTGAACCACACAGGCAGACCTGTTGGTAGAAGATAAATAATAGTGGCTGAAAAGAATGGATAGCAATGTCAATTATTTAGGTGAAAAGCATGCCGAGCTCCACTGTAGAGCATGAGCAGGACAGGGACCATTTAGAAAGAGGAGACAGATGACATCTTGAGATGGTGATACATACAATTTATGTAAGGACCAGCCAAAGTGACTGTGGTGGGATTGAAAGGTATCCAGGTGTGGAATGAGACCACATGATGGTGCCAGCAAATACCGGTGTCTCAGTTGCCAAACTAGTTGATACTCATTTTACCAAGTGTTTACATTGGTCCATAGTCTTCTTGGGAACAAACTGAGAAAGTGACCACTCATTGAATGGCCTCAGGAGAGGTTATTTCTTGTTCATAAGTAATAGCTCAGTGTGTAAATAATGTTTTTTATGTTTTGCTCACACAGGCTTGCTTTGCTTCCCTTGTGAGTCAGGATTACGTCAATGGAACTGATCAGGAAGAAATTCGAACTGGTAAGATTTCCCTCTTTGCAGATAACTTTTTTTTTTTTATAGTAAGATTGCTATTGCTGATTTTATATTTGTATGCTTAGCTCTGCATGTGTCTTCGAACTTTTCCAGGGTGTAAGATGGATGCAGATAGTCAGTCCCCATAAACTGCTGCCTCTGTTCAGTTCACTTGCTCACATGTTTTCGTTATGAACCACTTAAAATGAGCTTTTCATGTCTATAAAGAAAACTAGTAAGAACTGTTTTAAAAACCCACCAATTATATTGCTCTTTTGACTAGCTCTGACAGAGAAGTGCGTGCGTATTCTCATCTCCACTGTTTAGTGACTTTTTTCTGTATTTCAACTATTCCATTCTAAATGGAAATTGTGGTCCTAATTGCTGAGTGTCTGGATTATGTTTCTTTGGAGGACTTCATGATAGTTACACATGGGAACTTGGAAATGATTGTTGTTGCTGTCTTCCAGATTAAAATCCCAAATTATGTCTGTGAGGAGCTGCTGTTTTAATATTTTACTTATTCATTTAAGTGGGAGATAAATACATCTAGTGTTTTCCTTAAAACTTTTGGTCTCTCTCTCTCTTTTAAGGTGTTGATCAGTGTATTCAGAAGTTTTTGGACATTGCAAGACAGACAGAATGTTTTTTCTTACAAAAAAGGTTGCAATTGTCTGTCCAGAAACCGGATCAAGTTATCAAAGAGGTACAAATTTGTCTTTCCCCCCAACTTTTAGGGAGAACAAGTGTCATTAAGATTCCACTGTGTCTTAACTGTCTTCCTGTGAATTGTAGGAGGTCTTTAGAGGTCGGCGAAGTGCTGCGGGTACCAGTGTTGGTGACAGCCTGGACACCTGGGGATCATTGGGAGGGAGCAGAACTGCAAACAACTCTGCCTACCTACTTCACACCCTGCTTTTTATGGGAAAGTTCTCTTAAAAAGCAGGTTTTGCCTCCTGAGAACAATTGGAAAACCATCAGTATAGATAAAAAGTTAATTTGGACAGGAACTCTTAACTGTATCCCCAAATTGCCTTACCTGGTACCTAGCACATAGAAAATGGGCTATGTACTCTGTCTAAGGAATCAAAAGTAAATATTATTAAGTAATCAAAAAGGCATGATGGTGCATATATTTAATCCCAGCTCTCAGGAGGAAGAGACAGGCAGATCTCTCTGTAAGTTCAAAGCCAGTATGGCCTACATAGCAAGTTCTTAGGCCAGCCAGGGCTATATAGTGAGATTCTTTTTTTTTTTTTTTTTTTTTTTTATTTATTTATTTTGTATACAGCATGTATGACCAGAAGAGGGCACCAGATCTCATTACAGATGGTTGTGAGCCACCATGTGGTTGCTGGGAGTTGAACTCAGGACCTCTGGAAGAGCAGTCAGTGCTCTTAACCTCTGAGCCATCTCTCCAGCCCGAGATTCTTTATCTTTAAAAGATAAAAGGTAAATATTCTAGCCAAGGTTCCTTAAAAGGTTGGTTTGTTTTAAACTGAGATATTTGGAAATGAGTTGCCACAAGAACTAGGAAGCTTTAATGTTATTGAGTAAGTGAGATGATTCCTACCACCCCAATATAGAAGATTCTGAATTTCTAGCCCCAAGGCCAGTGATACTGCCACTGAGAAATGCAGATTTGAGAGTAATGGATTTTGGCAGCTTTTGAAATAACAAGGTGACCATGACAGTTAACCAGAAAGGATCTTTTCAGCCAGAGACCAGCTGTTTATAACAGGACTAGTAAGAAGATGATATTCTTACAGTCTCTTGTACCAGGTCACTTCTTGATATGAATGCTCAAATAGTATGTGGAAATGGTTAAGGCTATCATTTAAGCATTTTGCTTTTTTTAATTTTATGTGTATGAGTGTTTGCCCTCGTGTGTGTGTGTGTGTGTGTGTGTGTGTGTGTGTGTGTGTGTGTGTGCGCGGGTGCGCGCACGCGCGCGCCATGTATATGCAGTTCTCATAGAGGCTAGAAGAGTGCATTGGATCCTCTGGAACTAGAATTGTAGGTTGGTGGTGAGCTGCCTTGTGGGTGCTGGGAACTAAACCCAGGTCCTCTGCAATAGCAACAAGTGCTCTTTAACCACTGAGCCATCTCTGGACCCAAAGCCAAATTCTAATACAGGAATTACCACCACTGTTCATATTAAACTTTTGAAAAAGATGTACTTTTTGACACTGCGTAATCTGAAATTATAGAACAGTAATGTGGATTCTTAAAGACAGTTGTTAACACCTTTTCGTATTTTCAATATTTGGTGTCTTTCAATAGTGGTCTTTAAGGTAATTTTTAATTTTTTTGTTTTGTTTAGTTTTGGTTTTGGTTTTTTCGAGACAGAGTTTCTCTGTGTTGTTTTGGTGCCTGTCCTGGATCTCACTCTGTAGACCAGGCAGGCCTTGAACTCAGAGATCAGTCTGCCTCTGCCTCCTGAGTGCTGAGATTAAAGGCTCACCACCACTGCTCGGCTGGTAATTTTTTTTTTTTTTTTAAAGTTTTTTATTTATTTTTCGAGACAGGGTTTTCTGTGTAGCTTTGCGCCTTTCCTGGATCTTGCTCTGTAGACCAGGCTGGCCTCGAACTCACAAAGATCTACCAGCCTCTGCCTCCCAAGTGCTAGGATTAAAGGCGTGCGCCACCACCGCCGGCTTGGCAGGTAATTTTTAATTGTAAGGCTTATTTTTACTTATTAAAAGAAAAACCATTAAATATTAAAATTCTTGTTAGCAAACATCTCTCATTGGAAGAGTTGCCTTTGCTAGCGGTGGTGGTGTAGACCTTTAACCCCAGCACTCGGGAGACAGAGGCAGGCCAGCCTGGTCTACAGAGTGAGTTCCAGGACAGCCAGGGCTACACAGAGAAACCCTGTCTCAAAAAACAAACAAAAAGATTTGCTTTGGCTGATTCAGATAGTAGAGCAGCAGAGTGATGGGCTTTCAACACTTTGGTGGATTCCTTTGGTTTGGAATTGGCTTTAGTGTTGCTTTTTTGTTTCTTTGGTGCCATTTCAGAATTTCTAGGTAGGCCCTCTTCAGTTGAGCTATACCTCCACCCCTCTTCTTATTCTTTTGTTTTGAGACAGGGGAATCATAACTCCCTGAGTTACTCAAGCTGGCCTTGAACTCATTCTGGCCTTAAACTTGATGGTCCTGCCCCAGCCTCCCAAGTAGCGGGGTTACAACAGGCCTGCGCCACGAGGGTCATTCTGAGTGTTCCTAACTAAGGGGGAGCTTTATCCATTTACTCTTGTTTATGATGACTAACCTCATCCCTTTCTTTTTCCCCTTCCCACCGTCATCTGTAGGATGTCTCCGAACTAAGGAGTGAACTGCAGCGGAAAGATGCGCTGGTCCAGAAGCACTTGACAAAACTGAGGCATTGGCAGCAGGTGCTGGACGACATCAATGTGCAGCACAAGAAGCCGGCCGAAATGCCACAGGGCTCCTTGGCCTTCCTTGAGCAAGCATCTGCCAATATTCCTGCACCCCTGAAGCAGACCTGAAAGCACGCTGGACTGCCATGCAGCCTTGTGATCCTGCCAGGCATCTTTCCTTCTAGACATGCTGTATTGGAGGAACTCTGTGGGGTAGTGTTAGTTTATGTTCTGCCCATTTACAGGACAGAATGTAAGTAGGAAGCCCAGGCTGACCTTGAACCTACAATTCCCCTGCCTCAGCTTCTCTGGTTCTCTTACTTTATAAAATACCTGAAGCATTGATAAACCAAGTAAAGTTCGTTGGTTTGCTTTTTAATTCTTTAGGGAAGTTTGGACTGTGGGGGTGATCACACACATTCTCACGTGGCCTTTGCCATTTGTTTTGACATTTGTCATTTTGTGCCTTCATCTCTTTGGTTTATTTTAGTTGTGAATTTGGTACAACCTGAAGGAAAAGATTTTTAATAGTTTGAGAAGCCAGGGGATATAGAGTTTGGTGTCAGCCTTAACAACCACCCATGGTAGTATAGGCAGATCTGTAGATTTGCTGTTTCAAAACTTTGAACTACCTTACGAGGAATCTGACTCAACAATGCCATGTTTCCAGAGGGGCACAGGGTAAGCATATTTTGCGTGTGTGTCAAATGTGGTTAAAATATGCTGCCACTGGCATATTTTATTACAGGAGGATGCTTACCTTAATGTTGGATTTTATCTGGAGTAAGCTGCGTTTTCTGGGTCCTTTTTCATTGTCTTGAAGGCACACACATCAGGAGCATGTGCTGAGTGCTCTGGGCTGTGCAGTGATGGTCAGTGTAAGGAATGGAGTCGCAGGAAGGCACAGGTGAGGTCTGAGGGCCAAAGGCTGGCTTGGATTGTCTGAGTTTTACATGCTTGTTATTTATTTTTTTCAGAGTAGAGTACTTCTCTTTACTCAAAACAAAATATTCTATACCTCGTGAACAGTCAGTGCATCTCCAGCTTGTTTTTGATCTTGCCCATTTTGTTTTCTGGAGCCTTGAATCCCTGGGCACAAGCATTGACGTCCACTCCCTGCCTAGTCTGGGGCAGCCATCTGGTCCGTGAAGCTTCTGAATGCCCTTCATTGCATCCCAGGACATAGCCTTTTTGTTTTTCAACTTTAGTTCTCCATATGCATTATAAATTGGGGCTATCTCTGTGTTACTTGCTCTGCAGTATGCCTGTGAGAATTAGTCATCTTCTTGATTATGCAGTATTTTACTATTTTCATGTGCGTGCTTGGTTGAATGATATTTAGCACATGGACCAATGAGAACCAGCCTGAGGCCATCAAGTCCCCTTAATTAAAATGTGTAAGTTAAACAGTGTTAAAAAATTTAGTGTGGGCATGGTGGCGTGTTTGCAATCTAGCATTTGGGAGGCAGAGCAAGGAGGATCAGAGTTTAATGCTATCTTCAGCTACATAGCAAGTTTTGAGGCTGTTGTAGGCGACATGAAATTCTGTTTCACAAACCCCCACGGTTGGGGAGTGGGCATCCACTTTATGAAGCACTGACCATCAGGTTTACATTTTGTGGATTTCTTGGCTAAAACCTAAATAAACTGATGACATTTTGGTTGGTGTTTCAATAATAAAGGTGATGGTGAAAATACTGGGATTGTCCTTGGTGCTTAGTAAAAGTATTTTAAATTAGTATAGATATAAGTTATTGTTACTTCATTGAGTTCAATGGGTAGAATGATTTCCCCATTTTTGTCAGTTTGTAAGCATCCTTTTTTTGTGTGTATAGTATATCTGAGAACTTGTTTGGGGCAAGGGGTCCACGTGAAGTTTTTGTGAAGCCAGAGAACCGTGTCACGTGTCATTTCTTTCCACCTTAGTTTTTGATACACAATTTCTCACTGAATATGGGGATACTGTACTATACAAGGCTGCTGGCTGGCAAACTTCGGTGATCCTCCTGCCTCTCTTACTTCCCAGCACTAGGATTGAGCTACTCTGCTGGGCTTTTTGTTCTGGTACAGCAGATCTGAGCTCAGGTCTTTGGCTTGCGTGAAAGTTACTTACTGAAATATCTCCACTTCTCCCCAGCTCATCAGTTTTTACTACCTGGCAGCTTGCTGGTTGGTGAATGAACAGAAACTCCAAGCTGCATGTCTTTCAGAGACTTTCCTTGGCTTGCTGCTCCCACATGTAACCCAGCAGATTCAAGGAAACTTTTCAAACCCTTTCTGTTGCAGCTGCCTCCCTGAGTAAGACCCTTGCCACATGTCGGTGGGTCCCAGGCCAGTTGCTTTCTCAGGATTAACCACTGTGGTGCTTCTGCCACTTGAACTGTCTGCCCGTTGCCCCTTCCCTGCAGCTCACCCAAATTCTCTTCAGCATTTCTCTTGATCTTTCCCAGTTCCTATTTAGTATCCATCTCTAGTCCTCCGCAACTCTATTTGTCCATCTTACAATTGTGCTTATGATCATCTTTGACTACAAATCAGATGGACACTCACTTCTTCTGAACGTGAACTTAGCCCTGGAAGATGTCTTCCTTTTTCTCTCTGCTTCTTTATCTAACCACTAACTGTTGGCATTCTTGAGAGCTGGGCCCCAACTAAAGACTCCTATCCAGTTTTGCTCTCAAAAGTGCTGTTGCATGAGATACAGTTACAGAAACTTAACGTGGGATGTACCTGTCCTGGGTATTAGCCTGCCCAGCATGGCTGCAACCATCAGGCCTCTAGTGGGCAGTCTGCTCAGGAGCAATGTCAGTCACCCTAGTCCAGACTTCTGAACTATCCTTGCCCAGACAGCACAGACCTGAAAATGTCCATAAGCACTCAGCAGTGCTTGCCCTGTTACTCTGCTGAGGTCAACAGGGTCAGAACACCCAACCTCAGACACCCTGAGGTGATGATAAAGTTAGACAAATCACTTTATAATCTTACAGTCCAAAATAAAGTCACCATGTTATCCAAACTACCAGACATCCTGCTGGATGAAATGAATGACCACCTTTACCCATCTGATGGCTATTACCAACTTGACAGGATCTAGACTCAGCTAGGAGAAAGGCCTCTTGGCATGTCTGTGAGGAAGTTTCTTCTAGATTATCCTGACTGAGGTGGGAAGGCCCACCCTATGCGTGGGCAGCACCACTCATGGGCAGGGATCCAGTACTGAATAAAGGAGAAAGTGAGCTGGGCATCAGCATTCCTTGCTTACAGCTTCCCGTCTGGATACAGTGTGACCAGCTGCCTCCCTGGTGTGCCTTGTCCCCACACCTACTCTGCCATGGTGGACTGAACCATCAAAACTTTGAACCATGATAAGCTTTTCTGAGTTTTTGGTCAGGTATTTGGTTTCAGCAGCAAAAAAGATAGTACACTGGGCAGTAGAAAAGGAGTCTATGTTGCTCCTTACCAAAAGTTCTGGAGAAATGCCCAGATTAAAAAAGCAGAACCATCTGTAGCTAATGTCTTAAAGCCTGCAATAAAAACGGTGCTCACTGCTAATTATCAAGTAGACTTAGTGGGAAACAGACTGGGCATTTCCTAATCCAAAAATCCAAAATGCTCCCAAATCTTAAACTTTCCCAGTACTGACCTGATGCAGTAAGTGGAAACTTACAGACTTTTGAGTTAAAATGGAGGTGCACTAAGACTAGGTTGGATATGGAGAGGAATATGTTTAGACTTGGGTCCCATTCTTAAGATAACTTGTGTACATGCATGAGTTTGAAAATATACAAAACCTTACAGGTTTTTGTTTTTTGTTTTTTAATAGTGGGGCTGAACTCGGGGCCTTGCACATGCTAACCATGGGCTATACCACTCTAAAGCACTTCTGGTCCCAAGTGCTGGGATAGAGGATACTTACTCTGTAGTATTAGGAGGTGAAGAGTGGGAGGTGACGAAGCAGTGAAAAGGCCATGCTCATGAATGGGGCTGGGGCCCTTCTAAAGAGGCTTAAGCCAGCTTCGTCGCACATGAGGTCCCATAGTGGAGATTGATAAAGGATGGGTTTCTCACTCTGCTAGCACCTTCATGGTTTTCTTAGCCTTCAAGACATTTCTGTTGTCTGTGAATTAACCCCATCTTGAAAATTTTAGTATAGCAGTCCAACACTGCAGTGTCTTCAGGTTATATCAGACACATCCTGAGCAGGAAAGAAAAAGTTGGCACTGAAAAATAATGGGGCATTCCAAATATGGTGACAAATGTTTGCATCCATCTATCGCAGGGCGGCAGTGTAGGTCAGTGGTGTAACACTTCCCTAACCAGGGGCAAGGAAGAGCCTGTGTTCAAATTCTAACACGGAAACAACAACAACAACATACTCTTGTTTGGCTTTTTAACTTACTTTACTTACATTTCTCTAAAAATGATCTAATTATGTACATTTTATTTGTAGACAATCTGAACTTAATGTGAAATTTGTTTCAGAGCTCTATCTTCATCTAATTTTTACAAGCCATAGCCATTTTTATTGCCCAGTTGTTTAGGGTTTTATTCAAAGAGCAAATATTTGACAATGCATAGAATTAGCATCTGTTGATAAGCCACTTGCTGGGCCAGCACCAGAGAAAAAAAATCTACCCACTGAAAATTGTGTCCGATCTCTGTCAGAGGGTAAGACAAGGACTGATCGCAAGTTCAGCACCATGGGCAGTTCCCGGCTCTCCTGGGAGTCCATGCGGTGGGGAAGCCATACATCTGAGGCAGATGTATGAGGTCCAGCAATCTTTGACATCAGAGGACAGTCTAGAATCCTCCACGAAAGACTGTTGCATAATGGTCGCTGAAGCTGATGTGTGGCAGGTGGAACAGTTCATGAGCATTCCAGTTCATGAGCATTCCAGTTCCGGCAGATGGCTGTACCTAGAGTATACTGCTTAATCTTGCAGAGTTCCGGGTGAGGTAGGTGTTGTCCCTCCTTAGTCTGCGGCCTGTGCTAGACCTTGGAAGCCAAAACGTGCAGTCCAAGCATGCTACAGTCCATTCCTGGTAGGTTTGGTGTTTTTCGTTTGTTTTGTCTTCATTGGCTTTATTTTATTCCTCTTCATATTGAGGTGAGATGTGCATTTTGGAATTATCATTTTATATATGTGGAAATATATAGCATAATTCTTTGAGTGGAGATGACCAAGAAAAAATGAAAACATTTTTAAAGCAGACCATGGCAGTCACATGTCTGATATCCCACCAAGTGGAGTGTGACATTACAGGCACTAGAAATACGATTGGTAATTTGGTCATCAGAGATTGATAGCATTTTCCAAGGGGTGCTTTTTTTGTTTTGTTTTCTCTCTCTCTCTCTCTCTCTCTCTCTCTCTCTCTCTCTCTCTCTCTCTTTTTTTTAGTTTTTCAAGACAGGGTTCTCTGTGTAACAGCTCTGGCTGTCCTGGAACTCACAGAGATCCGCCTGCCTCTGCCTCCTTACTGCTGGGATTAAAGGTGTGTGCTACCATTGCCCTGCCCAAGGGGTGCTTTTTAATAACTGGCTTGTTTCAGCTTTAACTGTAAGAATTGTAAAATAAGCAGGTGTCACAATGAAACTGGAATGTTAGTGCCACACTTTGTTTTAGCAATCTATCACATGTAAGTCACTACCAGCTAGTTACCTGGTTGAGTGATTTTAATTCATTCCTTCAGATGGTTGAAATGATTTTCTAATGTACTCATTGGAACAGATCCCAAAGACCAGTTTAGAATGAAAAGTACTTGGTAAACCACTCCTGATGTGGAGAACCTTGCTTTTGTGGGGCCTCTTTGGCTTGGCCTGGTTCTCCATCTTGTGCTCTAAAATCAAAGAAAAAATTTACATGGTTTTGAAACTTATTCAGTAAAAAACAATACCCTACCATCTCTCCCAGAGAAGCTAAGTGCTTATTATCCCTTCACAAAGTACTAGACCATGACCAGCTAGGTTAGCAGCTGGAAATGAGTTGTGAAGGATGAGTGCGAAAGAGTGTCTAGTTCTTGTTTTAACTACCACCTGCTTTCCATTGTTTCACTGATGACTTGATGGCTATGGTGCTAACAAGATGCATTTTGTACCATTCATTATTATATTTTAGGCACATATCAGACAGTAAGCCAAATTTGAAAAACTTAAAAAAATAATTAATAAAAACAATGTTCCAACATGAGTCTTCTGTAGAATATTACTTGTGAGCATCTAAGTGAGGCTATGAAATTTACCTAATAAATCAAAAAGAAGAAACTGTCACTTGGCTAAATAGTCTTGTTTATGAAGATTCATATAAAATTGGAGCCTGCCAAGCCTGAGAACCCAAGTTTGACTCCTGGAATCCACATGGTAAAAGGGAACAGACTTCCAAAAGTTGTCCTCTGACGTCAACATGTGTGCCATGGCAGATGCCACCCTTCCCCAGTAAATACTATCAAAATTTTTGAGGGTCTCATTTCATAGCTCTGGTTGTTCTAGAACTTACTATGTAGAGTGTGCTGGCTTAGAACTCATGTAGATTCACCTGCCTCTGACTCCAGAATGCTGGAACTAAAGGCATGCATCACCACACTTGACCTATAGATACTGTAATTTAAAACACACACACACACACAGAGAAAGAGAGAGAGACAGAGAGACAGAGAGACAGAGACAGAGAGACAGAGACAGAGACAGAATAGCTTGGAGCACAGGTGCCTATCAATGAGAGTCAGAAGCTGGCAAACTGGTATGCTCTGCCCTAGACCTTTTTCCTCAGGCAGGACCCAAAGGGGCTACATTCATTCAGGGGTGGCCAGTTAGTCCTGGCTCATAGTCAAGGTCTAGAGAACTTCTGGAACCAGAGTATTTTAGAGGTGGACCTTTCTAAATGCAAACCTTAAGCTCAGAACTTAAAGCATGCCCTTTGAATGGAGGGCTTGAGGAGAAGGAAAACAGTAGACAAAGGTGAACCCACACGCCTCTAGAAGAGAAGCACGTTACAGGGGAGGATGAGAAAGGTGTGTCAGTACCACCTACACTCAGCCACTCATCACGAGGCTCTAACTGCCTCAGTAATACCATTCACACTGAAAAGTAGCCTTAGCTAAATGACACCTTTCTGTGTCGGGTCTGAGGGTGAAAATATCTTCTGGATTAATTCCTTTAGTCACACCAATCTCATCAGGTAGGTGGTGTATTCATTTTTAAGATAGAAATACAGGGAGCTGTAGAGGTCACCTGCCCAAGGCCACACAGCCAAGAAAAAATGGATTTTGAATACAGATGTAATAAATAAAGTGATTCCATAAAATTAGGCCTTCTAAAATCTGGCACCAGAACTCCAAAGAATAACAGTTTCTTTCTAAAAATCATCAGTGTTCCCATTTGGCTAGACTGTCCAAGGCTGGGCTCTTTCTCTTTAGATCAGATACCAGATTCTTAGCAGGTACCTGAGAAGACACCAATTTCTTCCTTGCCCTTGGAGAAACAGAGTACCACCTTCACCCTCCCCTCCACACACCTTGTGGCAGTTTTCCCATCGAGTAACTGGGTGGGTTTGTAAGGCTGGCCACAGCTGGGGCTTGGGTCCAGGCTGGGTGACTTAGTTATGGGAGGGGCATTGATCCTGGAGCTCAGATCTCCACTCAGGAAGTTCTTTGCATAGGAGGCAAGGTTTGGCACGCTCACCACTCGGCTGGGAACTTCCTCCATCTTCTTTTTCTGTTTGTGTTAGAGGGAAGCTGTTAGTGCTACCCGGGAAATAGCATTATTATAAAAGCAAATAGGCTTACCTGACTCAAACGACAAGGAATAGAGGTAATATTTATATACTTATATATTGTCTGAAAATTTGTTTGGGGGCCAGGCATATTACCATATGCTTTTAATAATCTCATCACTCAGGAAGAGAGGCAGGCAGATCTCTGTGAGTTCAAGGCCAGCTTGATCTACACAGTAAGTTCTAGGCCAGCCAGGGTTACATAATGAAACCATGCCTCAGTTTTGTTTAATTTAATGGATAATTACATTTCTGGGGATGAGATCCAGGCTTCAAGCATGCCAGAGCTCTTCCACTGAGCTATGCCCCATCCCTTCAAACTATTTTTTTTCTCCAATCTTTATTTCACATCTTTAAAAAACTCACAAGTCTATAATCTCTATCCAAGACTTGGGGAAAGACATACTTTATAATTTTAAAAATATTTTAGAGGGCATATGGTAGCAGAGACTGGCCCTGCCTCATCTCCACCTTCATCCTCATTAGCCTCTAGAGTGCAAGTTACATTGCTACAAAGATGCCTAATTTAAAAGGCACAAATGAGATACTGTCAGGACCACTCAGTCTAGGTTTGTTACTCTGTGAGCTATAAAATGCTGACTCTTTTCAACTTGTAGGAATCTGTGGCAGGATATGAGAGAGTTGTGACAAAATCCACAAGTATTACAGAGAAATAAAGGAATAAGAGGGATATTCTTACTATTACCCTCTTCTCCCATTATCTAGATGGGATATTAATTAATAGTGATGCATATTTGCTTTAGAAAACACAGGGTTCATAGAAAGTACAAGCCACACATAATCTCTTAGTACTGTTGGCTAGCACTTTAGACTATTCCACTGGATGCCCACCCGCCCATCAATGTGCTGCAGCTACTTTGAGAAGAAAAGAAGCCTGCAGATTGTATGATGTGTTAGAAGTGATTTACCTTCATGGAAGGGGTCAAGTATCCCGGGTGAGGATTGAAAGAGAAGGACCGATTTCGGTGGGACATGGCACTGGGGAAGGCCGCATAGTGAAATCTTCTCTCTTCCTGGAAAATCAATGCAACCAGGTCCTAGAGAGCTTAGGCATGTGCCACTGGTCTTGTCCAGATGGTGGAAGGGCAGAAGGAAAGCCTTGGAGAAGTGGGGTGGGTAGGTGAGTGGCAGTCAAGTGGCCAATCACTGAAATACTCCAGGCTTCATGTTACCAGTGAAGGAAAGGGGAAGCTGCCTTAGCAAGGAAAATAAATCTAACTATACTGAGCATCTGAAAGTAAAGTCTAGTACAAAAATTAAAGTAATTAATCAAAGAAAACTCTTCCCCATACTCAAGAAATTTCAACCTGTCTTTCCCTTGCCTTTGTTTGAAACAGGGTCTCATGTACTCCAAGTTGGCCTCAAACATACTATTCAGCCAAGGCGCGCATGGCCCTGAACTTCTGATCTCTTTCTGACCCCCAAGTGCTGGGTTTCAGGCATGTGCTACCACACTTGATTTGTGTGGGGCTAAGGACTGAAGCACCTCATGTGGGTGCTAGGAACTGAGCCTGGGCCCGCTGTGAGAGCAACAAGTGTTCTTAACCTGAGTGACTTTTCTTTTAAGATAATCATAACCGGGGCTGGAGTAAGCTCAGTTGTTAAGAGCACTTACTGCTCTTCCAGAGGACCTGAGTTCAATTCCTAGTGCCTATAATCAGGTAGTTCACAAATGTTAGTAACTCCAGGTCCAGGGGGTCTGGCACCCTATTCTGGCTGAAAGGGGACCTGTATACATGTGGCGTGCACACATACACACCTAAATATAAATAAACAAATAATTAAATAAAAAAGACAATCACAACTACAATAGCTTCCTACACATACCAAGTTAGCAGTTATTCTTTATTAATAAAATTCTAAGAGTCAAAGACAGACCAAGGGGAGAGACATCCCTAAGGAAGAGAGCAACAAGTCTTAATGATTTTTGAGGTGTAGAATCAAAGGACTTGGAAATAATCTTCCAGGGGGTCTAGGGAATGGGTTTGCTACTGAAAAACAGGTGGTTGATCATACAAAAGGAAAGTCAACAATGGCAAATTTGAATGATTCTATTAAAATCCTAAGATAAGTAAATGGATTTTTATCAAATTCTGTAGGTTAAAAGACAGAATCAGCATCAAACAAATGCTGTTAAATTTAGGAGTAAGATTTTTTTCTTTGCTTGTATCTCTCTCTCTCTCTCTCTTTCTCTCTTTTTTTAAAAAATTTATTTTATGTGCATTGGTGTGAAGGTGTCAGATCCCCTGCAACTAGAGTTACAGACAGTTGTGAGCTGCCAGGTGGGCGCTGGGAATTGAACCTGGGTCCTCCAGAAGAGCAGCCAGTGCTCTTAACCTCTGAGCCATCTCTCCAGCCGCCCCCCCCCCCTCTTTTTTTATGAGTACTTACTAGTAACAGGGGGAAATAATGAAGGATTGATGGGCAACATTTTATCTGGGCAACTCCAGAAAAGCCAGGTTCAGAGCGGGCACACTTACTGTGCGGGCTGGGCAGTACCTCCCCTTCCGGCCTAGTCCTCACCGTGAGCTGCCTGATGATGTCCTCTCTCTCCTTCAGGCGCATCTGCAGGCGGCCTATGAGCTGCAGGTCCTCAGGTCGTGACGTTCCTTTCCCTGGCTTCTCTCCAGAATCTTTCAGCCTGTTCAAAATAGGTGGTTAGTCCTTCTGGGGAGGTTTCTCAACAGGCAGGTGGAAGACTGTGCTAAGCATGGCCACTCAGGACCTACCCCTGATCTGGCTCCTGCCAGTTCTTTCACACCTTCAGAACTAAGGGCTGTGCACATAGATTCTAGTGCAGCCAGGCTTCTGGGGCCAGGTGTAGTTCTGGAGCAAGACCCCTACCCCACCTCGGCCTGCAGGGTCCCCTGGCACCCATGAGGCTCTTGCCCCATCTGGTGGGGACACAGAGCACAGCCTGAGTTGGCCTTAGAGTCAAGAAGCCCTTCAGGTGTGGTTGTAAAGGAGATAGGTGTGGACAAGACACACTGCAACTGTTTTGGGTCAAGACTGGTTTTTGAGAGCACAGGTTCTGAAATTCCCTTCCTACTACATAACCAGGGGGAAGAGGTTTTAACTTGTGGGCCTGGATCACTGCATCACTTCCTAACTGGGCTCCCTGTCAATCATCCCTTCTTTTAGTTCCACTATCACTCAGCAACTAGAAGAAAGCTTCTTCTGGCCCTCCAGGGTACTGTCACAAGTGTAGTGTGTATTTACACAAACACACACATACACAAAAATAAAGATAAATCTTTATAGATGAATGCATCCCTCAACTCACATTAAGAGTAAACGGCAATTAACACAGAAACAATTTAGTCAAAGTGCAGACAATAAGAGATTGCTATAGGTTGCTCTCCACAAACTGATGGCAGGGCCCCACTGCAGAAGACAACACCTATTCATCTTATTGAACATGGAGACATTGAGCTGGTCCCTGCATAGAGACTTTACCCTACATTATAGCGTCTTTGGTACAGGAAGGTACTCCGCATGCAGTCAAAGGAGAAGAATAAACACTAACCCAGTCATAAACCTTTTTATCTACAATGGTATCCTGCCTGCAATGGTGGCACAAAGCTTGTGGGAGTAACCAACCAATATCTGATTTGACTTAAGGCCCACCCCCACTCCACAAGATGGAACCCATACCCAACACTTCTGTGTGACCAAAAGCCTGAGACTAGATTGCCTAGGGACCTAGGGTAAAACCAAATACTACGGCTCTAAAAAAAAAAAAAAAAAAAAAAAAAACCCAGCAAAACATATCAATAAACCATCATCAGAGAAGCTTCATTCTATAGCAGATGGAAACAAATACAGAGAGGCACAGCCAGATGCTATGCAGAGAGCAAAAGACTTTTGAACCCTCAGCCCTAAACAGGATGTCTCTATCAAATCCCCTCTAGTCTCAGGGAAACCTGCAGAGGTGAAGGCTCAAAGATTGTAAGAGCCAGAGAGGATAGAGGACACCAGGAAAACAATGCCCTCTAAGTCAGCAGGACTGGTGCTCAGACTGAACTCACAGAGATTGAAGAGCATGCACAGAGTCTACACACCTCTGCACCAGATGGTGTCCTGGAGCTGAAAGGACAAGTGGGAACATACTCCCATTCCTAGCCCAGAAGCTATCTCAAATTGATAACCACTTGCAAATGAAAATTTAGTTTTCTCCAAGGGAGTCTCACCGGGGAAACAAACTACTCTTACAGGCAGGCTGCATGCCCAGAACAGATGGCCACAGAAAACAAACTCAACAGCATCTTTGGAGGTGCTTTGTCTCACAATGTCGTGTCAGCGCGTTTCCTTTATTTTTCTATCTTATTTTTAATTTTCATTTTATTTGTGCATATTTTCTCTTTCTCTTTTTACCATATAAGTCCTCTGCATATATATTCTGTCTTCTAGTTTAGTGTTTTTATGGGTTTCCTGAGTGTGCGAACGAGTAGGTCTCGGGGTCTTTATCTGTTTCTTGTGCCTGTTCTTAGGTTCTCTTCCTTCTGTTTGTTTGTTTTGTCCTATTTCAATGTGTTAGACTTTGTCTTATCTTATTATACTATATTATACTTTACTGTTATATAATAGAAGTCTGTTTGTTTTCTAAGGAGAGGAGAAGGGAGGTGGGGAGGAACTGGGAGGAGTAGAGGGAGGGGAAACAGGAATAATGTATATTATGCAAGAAAAAAATCTATTTCCAATTAAAGGAGAGAGAGGTAGAAAGAGGGAGGGGGAGAGAGACAGAGACCGCCATAGCCCCTCCTCAGGAGTCATCACAACAGAAGAGGGGTGGAAAGACTGTAGGTGCCAGTGATTGAATGACTACGAGGAAAAACTGTCTGTGACACCGCAAGGCAGTGTCACAGAGAAACTCACGATGGTGGTGACAGCAAGTGTGAGATCTGTACAAGCTCAAGACAGACAAAATCCCAGCGTGGAGATGGGAGGTGAACACCAAGTCCCACACCTAGCTGAGGGGCTACTGGCAAATGATAAACATGGGACGGGGAGTCATTTTTCTTTATGAGGACAGCCTCTGGTATTTGCTCCGCCAGTGGATGGCCACATACTCAAGAGTATATGGGCAGTACAAATTATACTTGATGGGAGTGAATATGATCAAAACACATTTATGAAATTTTCAAATAACTAATAGAAATGGGAAAAATAAAATAAAATGAGGGATTGCCAACCACCCTCAGTTGCCTGGCAATGAAGAGCTTCTGGAACCTAGAGAACGTCTAAGTTTTAAAACCATGAACGCTCGGGACACTAGGATGAGTTGGTCACTTCCCAAAAGGGTAACCTGCCAGTCCCTCCCCACCTGAGCCCAAGACTTTGCTCACTCGGCTTCCAGGGCAGCCAGCCTGGCCTGGAGGCGGGCCTGGGCACCACTGAAATCTGCCACCATAGCCTGCATCTCCTTCCGATGCTCCTGGCGGAGTGCCTCCACCTCCATGGCTCTCTGGGCTTTCTGGTCCTCCTCCAGCAACCTGTGATGGATGAAAGACAGTCAGGGTCACCCAGGCTCTGAGCCTGAGCCCTTGGACTTTGGGGCTCATTTCTCTGTTTGGTGGCCTAGTTTAAAAGGCCTTGAACTAAGTCATATCCAAGTGCCTTATGAGAAGTCTACCTGGGGTCTCCGGGTTATGAAACTGAGGGTAAGCCTCCCCGTGGGAACCCTTCTTAGGATCTTCCCACATCAGCAAAGGAGAACCCCGGTCAAAAGAGCTGCCTTCCTTGGAAGAAGGAAAAGAGACCTGGAGGGAGCCCTAGAAAACACTCCCTTCCCCTGCATCCCCTCCTCTGAGGCAGAGGTAGCATTCCCTCAGGCCTAGACCTCTGAAACCAAGGAGAACCCTATCCAGGGTTTCCAGAAAGGTGGGTGGGACAGGTAAAAGGGCGGTAGTTAGGGCCAGGTTACTAAAGTCCTTGGCTTTTGCTATTATTTTAACTGTGTGACCTTTGGCCCAGTGTCCTCTTCCGTTAGATGGAAGTGACACAGTACCTACCTCCCAGGGTCATTGCGAGGAGAAATTGAGCTCATGTAGATCTGGAGAAGTCCATGGCACAAAGCCCTTGTCAACCACAAGCTACCATTGTTCTCTAGAGGAGGCTCCTAATGGGCCGCAGCTGAGTCCTAGGGGCCTTCCACTTTCAGGAAGTACATGCACATTTTTATGTTTTTCTCCCAGGTGAGGGATCATAGCTTTCCTCACTTGAAGAAAGACGTGCCTAGGGTCACGTGGTGCATCTCTTGATCTATGGTGCTCCATCTCAGCCAGGTGGGCTCCTGGCTCTTTTGTTTTGTTTTGTTTTGTTTTTTGAGACAGGGTTTCTCCATGTAGTTTTGGTTCCTGTCCTGGATCTCTCTCTCTGTAGACCAGGCTGGCCTTGAACTCACAGAGATCTGCCTGGTTCTGCCTCCCGAGTGCTGGGATTAAAGGCGTGCACCACAGCCTCGAGGCTTCTGGCTCTTCTTAGATGAACTCATATTTCAGGGTCACCTGGGAAGGAGGCCCCATGACCTCAGTTAGATGACGATTGAGTTATTTCACAACAATGTGAGTGCACAGGGTGGGAAGGGTCGCGTGAATAGCCCATCTTGCTGTGGTTGGCTCCCTTCGTGGACACTCTCACATTGGTTGTTTTGTATTGTTTGAGACAGGGCCTTACCCTGTAGCTCACACAGCCTGGAGCTCACTATGTTGCCCAGGCTGGCCCCAAACTCTTGGCACTCCTGCCTCAGTCTCCCAAGTGCTGAGATCACAGGCATACGCTACCATGTCCAGCTTCCTTTGGCTGATCTTACTTAGATGCTGCTGTCTGGAGGAGGCCAGGTCCTTCATTCTCTGTTCGGGAAACCCCCTCACCTTTGGCTGTTACAGCAGCAAGGGTGAGGCACAGTCTGAGCGGTGCCACAATTTCACCTGCCAACTCCAGCATCTCCTGGGAAATTTTCAGGAATGCAAATTCTAACTAATTCTAATTCAGGGGCTAATTCTCAGGCTCCTTCTCAGCTCCATTGAATCTGACACATCTGACACAGGGGTTAGTTTAGCAAAGTGTTCAGTGAAGAGTGTGTGTGTGTGTGTGTGTGTGTGTGTGTGTGTGTGTGTGTGTGTGTGTGTGTGTTCAAGTACAAGTTCTTGTCCATGGTAGGAAAGTGCTCTCTACCACTAGCTGCATTCCCAGACCCCAGGTTTAAACTCAATTTGATGAATTTTAACCACAGATTCCCCACCCCCTTCTTAAGTCAGTGCTATGTGCCTAATCTTGCTCCCAATACTTGGCATGGAATCCCTTCTGCGGGTGTCAGGGTAGAGTCAGAAAGGTCTCACTATGTGGTTTCTGCTGGCATCGAACTCAAGATTCCTCTACCTCAGCCTCCTAAGTGCTAGGATTAGAGGCAGTGCCATCACCCACGATATCTCTTTTCTTTGTCTCAATTTTCTCTACCACTTACGTGCTGGGCTTTCCCATGCCTGATGCCCTGGGCAACTGGGGCCTGGGAAAAATTTTAAAAAACTTGGTTGTGGTCATGCACAAGGGGAAAAGTTACACTTGTTGACCAAAGTGCAAACCCCAGCCTTTCTGCATACCTGTAGTGTGGGGTAGAGCAAGCTGTATGAACCCCTGTGCCATCTCCCTTCTCTCTTACAAAGAAGTGCTTTAAAGATTAAATGACCAAGTACAATCGAAGTGGGAAGTAGTTTAGAACTGGCCCAGCAGGGTTCACAACACACAAGTGAAAATAATCAGAGGAAAGAGGATCCTGTGTATGAAGATGACACAAGAGAAATTGTGAATACCTAACTCTGGGGTAAAACACGCAAAAACAGATGAAGCACACAAATTCCTTGACCAAAACAAGCGGACAAATCTTATTCCTAAAGAAACAGATACCCTAAGAAGTCCTAGTCAAGAGACTGAATTTGTATTATAAACCTTCCAACAGTGAAGGAAACTCTCCCAGCGTGGTGCTTCCTCCATGCTTGGTAGGGGGCCAGGCTTTCTGCTCGCCTGTTACTGCCCTGAGCCCCTGAGCCAGGATGGCATTGCCCCCTTGTCAAGAGGCAACCATAGCTAGTCAGAAGGCACAGCACTGTCCGGACGATTCCATTTCATTGTCTCTTCTGGGTCTGATTCTAGGTCTAAGAAGTCTTGAGGGGAGAGGAGAGCCCTGTTTCAGATCTCAGAGGCTCCAAGCAATGTTGGAGGAAAGGGAGGAGGGGAAAGAGAGGAGGGAGGAATGTGAGGAAGGGAAAGAATGGAAGCTGGGTGGCCGCTCACCGGTGCTGCTCACGCAGCTGCAGCGCCTCCTGCAGGTGCTGTTCCACCTCTGCACGCAGGCGTAATATGGTGCCTTGGAGCTGAGCATTCTCCTCCAGGAGCCCCTTCTCGGCCGCGCAGGTCATGGAACCAGGAAGCTCTACAACGCCCACAACCTGAGTGGAAGGCAGCAGGTAGAGACTTATTAACTTTTTTCCCCAGCAGGCGCCAAAACCAGCTGAAGCTTGATGCTGGAATTGTTGCAAGGTGATAACAACTAGAGTAGGAATTAGGAATGTGTAGGGAAGGGGCTGATGTGCTGAGCCTGAGCAGGAAAATAAAGCGGAGTTGCCTGGGGTCTGGAGAACAACCGAGTTGGTCTAGGGAGTGTTTTGAGATATTTCCCCCACAGACAGGAAGAATGACCCAGACTAGCTAGCTACCTGGAGAGCTAAGAGGTACAAACAGGTATCTGAATTTTAAGTAACCTGTAACACTCCAGATCTGCTTTCTGCTTTTCAAAGATGGGAGCCTGCAGACCACCAAGTGTTCTAGGGGTGAAGAGTGGGAGCAGGGTCTTGCTATTTCCAGCAGGAAAGAGATCTCACTCCCAGAGCCCATCCATATGGGGATGTTCTCTGTGAGCCTAATGCAGTCTTAGAAGGAATATGGTGTGGACAGGGGCAAGGGAACTGACCTCTGTAATAAAGGTGTGGTCTGTGCCATTCCCTGGACACTGATTGATGGCCTGCCACTTCCCCAAGGGTCCCAGGGCCCTTTGCTCGCTCTGTAGCACCTCCAGTCCCTTCTGATGCTCAGAGCAGGCAACTCGCTGCTCTGTCAGCTCCTGCCTTAGGGACTCTGGAAGGAAGAAGAGTGAGAGATCATTCCTAAACTTATTCCAGGATCACAGAAAGCAAGGATATGATATAAGGAACATTTGATGTGCCCTGCAACCACCCTATATGGTATGCCATCCTCCTTCCCCCATCCATCCCAGCTCCATTTTATTATAAGCAACAGAAAGGGTAAGCAACCCTGAGCTATGCAGCTATTAAATGGTGGAGCAGGATTCAACATTCCAAGTGTTTCCTTTTTGTTCTGAACCACCTGGGTGGCTACTGCTGGCTGGTTAGGAGGAGTAGCAGGGTAGGGTGTGTTGGCCTCAGTCTAGACCAGATCCTGAGGCAACACTGGGCCTGGGCACCAAGTCAAAGGAAGAACAAGGAACCTGTTCTGGAGTCAAGGGTCTCAAGTCAGGAATCTTGATATTTATGTCAATTCTTAAGGAGACAAAACTCCAAGCCATGGGCACAGGATCTTGGCTGGCTCATGGGGGCAGAAGATAGTTATTCATCAGGATTCAGACTAAAGCCAGAATGCGTTGGGAGAAGTTGACTCAACAAGTCATTGTAGCCCTGTGGGGTGAACACTGTCGGTGCCCTCATTGGACAGATGGTGGACTGCCCAGGCCACGCAGCTAGTGAGAGTAGGAATTAAGTTTGAAAGCTAGATAGTTTAATTCCAGAGATCTTAACTGCCTCTGCTAACTTCTGGAACACTGAGAGAGGGAGGTTGATGTTAGAATGGAACCAGAGATAAATTTTATGCTAGGGATAGCTTGAGGCAAGCAGAAAAAATTCAGGTGGAGTCTGTGGGCCTGAGCTCCCCAATTCGAAGATGTCACTGGGATGGAAATCTACAGAATTGAAGCACTCCAATGAAACCTGTGCCAGGCCTCATATCTGAGTTCTACTGAGTGGTAACCGTAGTGTCTATGTCCACTGGACTCATGTTGTACGCTAGACATGTAATATTTAACATCCCATTTAATGCACACAATGACCCTATTGTAGTGGGTAGCCATTCTAGCTTTGATCTGGAAGTTCCAATCCCCATTGAGGCTTCGGTAACTGTCACGCCTACAAGGCAGGGCCAAGAGAGGGCCCTGAAGACCTGCTGCCTCTCTCTGTTCCTGGACCCTGGATAGTGGAGGTAGACCAAGCAGAGTTCTCCAGAGAACACTGCCGGACTGCGACACACCTTCCCCAGCCCCTGCAACCTACCTATCCCTTCATTTGTAAGTTACGCCACTAATAAACCTCCCTTTTAACTACGTAGAGTGGCCTTAATAATTTCACCAATATCTGGCGCTCACGTGGGGCAAATTCCAAAGGCCTGGGTGGCTCCCACCCTCAGCCTCCTCACTGGCGGGTACCTAAACCCGCCTGCAAACTTCCATATAACTAGGGAACACCTACACGGTTCCATTCCCAAAAAAGGGAGCAGCTAGTCCGGTCTCAGTTCCCTAGCTTAGCCCCCAGACCAGCGGAAAAACCCGCTGTGAGTGAGGCATTCCCCTCCTCCCTGAGTGCCGGCTCCGGCCATCTCCTGCCTTCAGCTGCCAGCCAAGGTCGCCAGCAGGCCCTGCTTTGGAGCTGTACCAACGCCTCCTGCTGGCTGAAAGTGCTACTACACCCTATGTGGTAGAGACAATTACAGATCCATTTTTATAGAAAAGGAAAATTCAACCTAGAACCCCCATCCCTACCCCTCAGGTCTAATGGATAGTTGGGAATGGAACTGGTATTGTTGCCGTGGCCTGTGTACCCTGCGTGCTACTGGTTTCCATTTGTAGAGCATGCAGGCGGCTGGGCTCTTCAGGTGGACAGTGGGATGTTTACCAAGCAGCAGAGGCTCTTGCAACTCTTGTCTGGCCTTCTCCTCTAGGGCCTGGAGCTCCAGCAGGTGTGCCTGGTGTTGGATCTGGAGGCTGTGACTGGACTCCTTCTTCAGGAGCTCCTCTGTGGCCTGTGGGCAGAAGCAGAAGGAATGGGACATGAAACTGGTTATTAGGGACTCTTTGGTGGTGGGCTTTCAGACTGTGGTACACTAATGGCCTGACCACACCACACGCCTTGTAAGTATTTTTAGCTAGCAGATAAAGTCATGGGTTTCATTATGGTGTGTTTGTTCATTATACTTTGCTCTTTTTTCTTTTAATTTCTTGTCCTTTTTTTTTGAGCCAGCATCCCAGGTAGCTCAGGCTGGCCAAGAATTCACTTTGTAGCTGAGGATGACTCTAAATCATTTAATCTTCCTGCCTCCACCTTCCAAGCAGATTATAGGTGTGTGCCATCACACACCTTAATTATGTAGTACTGGGGAATCGAACCCAAGACTTCAAACATGTAAGGTGAATGAATACTTTACCAACAGGGCAAGCATCTCCAGCCCCATGTATTTTGTTCTGTTTTTTCCTCTCCACTGCTTTCCTCACACACACATGCTTCTGCTGGCCCCTTTCCTCCACCTAAGAAGTTCCGTTTCTGATTTCATGGCACATGCGTTCCATTACCCCGGCTTAGGTCCACTGTCTCCTCCCTTTAGACTGCTGCTTCCCGGCTTTCTATGTTCTAGACCCAGCATTTCAGGAAGTCCTTGAGTCCAAACACCTACTGAATGAGGGAAGAGTGCAAGGCACAGTAACAGCAGCACAGACCCCACAGGTCTCAGAAAGTGGCTCATCATCGGGGGGTGGGGGGTGGGGGTGGGGCGGGGCGAGACTGAGCTCTGTTTCCTGCCTCCTCCTTCTCCCAAGTGATCTGGGGGCTGGAGATGAGACATAAGATCGTTTTTTAGGATGTTAGCCTGCTGCCTTCCTGGACTACTGGCTGTCTGAATAAAGTGAGAATGAAAGATTCAAATTCAATTCTATCTGCGGGTACGCCGCTAGGAACTGGAAACAGGAACACCAGCTTTCTGGCAACTCTACAAGCGCAACATCTGGACTCTCTGACATGTCATGGAGCTAACAATTGCTGCCTGGCTGGGGCTTGAGGTTTGGTTCCGGGATGAGAAACTCCAGAAGGGCAGCCAAGTCCTTTTACTTGGGGACTTCCCTTCTGCTCCAGGCACTCTCTGGAGCCTTTCCTAACAAATTGAATTGCTATACATTTCGGTTTGGTTTCCTTGTTTTGGCCTCTGTTTTAGCTTGTTCCGCTCTGTTCTGTTTTTATTCCTGATTTCATGCCCCCGATTTCAAAGTATCTTTCTGTCCCGTTCCATCTGGTTTATTCCAGAGCTCTGACTGTTAGAATGGGTAGCAAAGCCTCTATTTCTGGCAGCAGTTCCTTGGGGGCATGTTCTGGCAAGATGCTCTATGTTTATTCATCTGTGGGAAAAGGGTTGCTGGTTTTGATCTCCCGAAATTTGGAAGGAAGTCAATGCCTTTTATACACCAAATTGCAATTGTGGGGTTAGTCTATGTATTTTATCTTCTGCCTTTGTCTTGCTCATACAAGATAATTCACTGTCCAAGGACACTGGAAGCTGTAATCTTGGACAGCTCTTGATGGAATGTAACATCCTGCAACTGACAAAGAAATGAAATGTTTAAAGGAAACTGGCTCACAAATGCATGTAACAATGCTGTCTGCTTGGGACTTACAACAGAAAAGAACCTTAACAGTTTAACAGTGTGTGGCCAGGTGTTCTTGATTTGTTACATTGTGTCCAAAATGTAATTTGGATTAAGCTTCCTTTTAATAAATTGGTAAATAAAAGCCTGGTGTGGTGGCATGGCTTTAATCCCTGCATGCCAGAGGCAGAGGCAGAGGCAGAGGCAGAAGCAGAGGCAGAGTCAGGTGGATCTCTGAGTTCGAGGACAGCCATGGCTACACAGGGAAAGCCTGTCTCAAAAAAACAAAACACAATAAAATAAAGTAAGTTGATAAGTAAGCTTGTTTTGTCTCATAATACTAAGTAAGGAGATTAAGTAAAAAGAAATTAGTAAGAATGAGAGGAGATTCAAGAGAAAATGTAAACATCAGGATATATTTTTGATAATAAAAGTGCCGGGTGGTGGTGGTGGTGGTGGTGGCGGCGGCGGCGGCGGCGGCGGCGGCGGCGGCGGCGGCGGCGGCGCACGCCTTTAATCCCAGCACTCGGGAGGCAGAGGCAGGCGGATCTCTGTGAGTTCGAGGCCAGCCTGGACTACCAAGTGAGTTCCAGGAAAGGCGCAAAGCTACACAGAGAAACCCTGTCTCAAAAAAAAAAACAAAAACAAAACAAAACAAAAAAAAGTTAAAAAGATAATTTTCTTGAGAAAAGTCTTTTGTATGGCAAAATAAGGGATTGTCTTAAGAGAAGAGACAGAATATTTCCAAAATGGAAAAAGAAAGATGGAGACAAAACAAGAATACTGAAGCATGTCAAAGAAGGTTCTAGTAAGTCATATAAGGTTTGATATTTGTATGGTGATTGCTGGTTATTAAAATTCCTAAGGTCAATATTCAGGACATGAATATAAAACTAAAATCCAGTCCTTGCTTTAAACAATGAGGTTTCCTTAAGACACAGGTCTGTTTTTAATAACATTCATAAAAACTGGCTTAAATAACAAAGATTTTGAGGCTATGGAGATGGCTCTGTGGCTAAGAACACTGGTTTCTCTGTCAGAGAACTCAAGTTTAGTACCCAGCACCAAGTTCCCATGACTGTCTACAATTCCAGATCCAGGGTGTCCCATGCCCTCTTCTGCCCTCCGTGGCCATAGGCACACACATGGTATTCACATGGTAATCACCCTTGGACACAGTGGATGACTGACATTGTGCAGTGTATAGCAGCAAAGCCTGATTTTCATGGCTCCTGTACTTTTAGGTGATTTTTGTACATTATGTACCTTATGTATGCGTGACTAAATGTGTGTCCAAACTGTGAAATATGCAAAAGTTTGCAATTAAGGTAAGTTTAATGTATGCAAAGTGAACAATACTTTTTATACAAAATGCATATGGCCAATGAAATTCTTTTGACATTTTGCTTTTTAAAATCAACACCATTCAAACAAAACAAAACAAAATCACAAGCCACCCAAACCTGCCATTTGAGTGGTCACATTATTTGAAATCCTGGTCTACCTTTATTGGCCCTGAAAAAAGAAATATTTTGATATATATCTATATAGATATCTATATAGATATATAGATATATATCACTTTATTTCAGAAAATAAGTCTATTTGTCATTAACACCATTCCCTAAATTTGTAAGAACTCTAAAAATTTTATGTTGTCAGTACTATAACCTATTATCATCCTAAATTTTGCTTCAAAAACAGCATCTAAATTACTATGTATCTAATTTACCATTTATGACTTTGGTGTAGTCCTTCTGTGTCATAATGATAATTATCACTGGTTTATTTATATGTTAAGTGCCTTCTAAAATAGAATGCATAGGAGAGAGCTTTACTATGTCTACCTCCAAGCTAGAATTGATAATGATGTTAAACTTTTCATGGGTTCCTTACTATTCTCTTTAACCAAAGGTAATTAAACTTGCCCTAATATTGTGCATTCTGACCAGTGTCTCCTATAATTTAATGATATTATAAATTGGCCACATAAAGATTACAGCACTGACCAGCATGTCAATATATTCCTAAATGTGCAATAGTGGCACTTAATATCTTGACGGTAACTGTCTTAGAGTTTTATTGCTGTGAAGAGACACCACGACCATGGTGACTCTTATAAATGAAAACATTTAATTGGGGCTGGCTTACAGTTTCAGAGGTTCAGTCCATTATCACCATGGTGGGAAGCATGACGGCATGCAGCCAGACATGGTGCTGGAGAGATAGCTGAGAATTCTACATCTGGACCTGCAGGCAGTAGAAAGTGACTGCCACACTGGGCATCGCTTGGGTATCTGAAACCTCAAAGCCCACCCCCAGTGACCACTTCCTCCAGTAAGGCCATATCTCCTAATAGTGCCACTCCCTGTGGGTCTATGGGGGCCATTTTCTTTTGAACACCACAATGACCAACAGCTGTTTAATTGAACTTAAGGTTCACTTAACAGGAGAGAAAATCATGACTGGTGCTTATACCTAGGGCTTCTGAAATCATGGATCTTAGAATAGAATCCACTACTGCCCCTTTATTGTACCAGCATAATTCCTAACTACATTCTAAGTCATATCTTTAGACCCACAGGTAAGTGCAGCCCTCACCCCTCACCACAGAAGCTTCTTTTAACAGCAGATGGAGACTGTTGTGGAATATTAGTTTAAGATGTGTTACATTTGTTAATGCTGTGGAACATTTGTTTATTGAAGAAAAGATGTGTTGCATTCTTTTATGTTGCATTTGTTTAACTCTGTGAAGCTGTGTTACTTGGCCTGCCTAAAACTCCTGATTGGTCTAATGAAGAGCTGAACGGCCAATAGCTAGGCTGGAGAGAGAAACAGACAGGGCTGCCAGGCAGAGAGAATAAATAGGAGAAATCTAGGCTTGAGAGAAGTGAGAAAAGGAGAAGGAGAGGAGGAGGCCAGAGGCCAGACACACAGCCACACAGCCACACAGCCACACAGCCACACAGCCAGCCACAGAGTAAGAAGGGAAGAAAGACATATAGAATAAAGAAAGGTAAAAAGCCCGTGGAAGCTCACAGAGGTTTCCTAGTGGGATCTGAGCTTGCATTACCCAGCAGGGCTGCATAAGGGAATGATTGGACCACGGCATAGTTATCAGATGTTTGGAAGGGTCTGCACTTGGCTGGGCAGTGTGCTTTGATCTAGCAAGGTACGCTTTGATCTTTTGCCCCACCCCTAGGCATTGTTACAGAAAGACCTTTTGAAGAGACAGAAGGGGCCTGTGGATTTTGATCCAGGTCCTCCCTAAGCTATCCTGTGTTTCTGTCCATCTCTTCTCTGCTATCTTTCTTTCTAAAAGTTTCTTATTCCTCTCTCTTCCTCATAGGAACCTTTTAAAAGGTGGGAGCTGGCCTCCCACAGATAGTGCCCTGAACAGGGTCTTAGGTTCAGAGACCCCCCGACAAAAGCCCAGAGGCAAAATGTAGAAGAGAAATGAGTTAAATTAGAAAAGCTGAATAGAAATAAGCCAAACTAAGACTGGGCATTAATAAGTAAGAATAAGTCTCCATGTATTTATTTGGATTCTGGGTGGTGGGCCCTCCAAAAGTAAAAATAAACAAAACAAACAAGCAAACAGACAAACAAACAAAACAAAACAACTACAGGAGACCATTAATGAAAACCACAACTGGACACAATATAGAAATAATGGTTGGTGGAGAGGGCAGCCCAAAGGCTACATCTTCAACACAACTCCTATACCTAAGGCTCAGGAAGCATCACAGAAGAGGAAGCAGGAAGATTCCAAGAGCCAAAGGATCAGGAAGTCTGCCATGAGACTGTGTCTCCCAGAAATGGCTGTCTACACAAGTCCTGAACAATGACAATACCAATAGACAGGCTAATGATCATCTCACAGGGTCCTTCCTACCAGGCAAACACAGGCTAGAGTTAGAGCAGCTGACAGACCCAGGATCCTGTGAGCCGGGTTGTTCTTATTGATTGCAGGCAAATTTGGAAGAAGATATAGAAGAATAACATTGTTTTGTTTTTTCTTTTTTCTGGAGTGCCTAGCACACAGTCTGTATGCATGGTGCCATCTCTTTTTAAAGCTTATTTTGTATTTTTATGAAGGCAATCCGCTCCGTACTACAAAGAACCACAAAGTACTAAGCAACAGGAAAACAAGCAGGCTCCTCTTCTCTTTCCACACCTGTTCTTGCACTGCCCACTGTGCTGGTTTCTTCTGGTGTTTACTATCACGGAAATAGGTGTCTCCATTCTGCTCGATCTTGATTATTTTTGAGGTTATGGTGTATCTTGCCCTTACAGTAGAGGATTTTGTATTTCACATTTTATATCTCATAACTTCTCCCTTTCAGACCTCACAGTCATCTCATTTTAAAAACAGATGGGCATGTACTCCAACAGCCTGCACTTCTGAACTTAGATAAGCTGTCATGATGGAAGCACTCCCTTGGACAACTTTCTGGCTTTTGTTTGAATTACTAACTGTTGTGTTGAAAGCAGATTTGCTTAGTGCTCTTTAACTGAGCCTTGTCACAACTTCTAAAAGTGAAAAACACTCTCAACACAACGCCCACATCTCCATCAGTTCTCTTTTCCTTGGACCCACATCTTTCAGAACCTCAGCTGACTGGCCTTCTTCTAGGCTGTCCGGTGGTACGGTGGTTCCTAAACTCTTCCCATTTGTTCCTAATGGGGCCTTGATCACTTTCAGTCTCTCTTCCAGGTCTGCTTCCTTTCTATGAGACACCTCTTTAGGAAGCTTCCTAAGATAATAGGAAGGAATGTGATGCTTGAGACTGGCCAGAAGGTAGCAGGTACAAGCGCTGAAGTTGCTTGAAGTGCCTGTTGGATTAAATGTCGTGACTTGGCCACCACTCTGCAGCTTCCTATACCCTCTGGAAGGTTTTTTGTTTTTGTTTTTTTTTCCAGCTGAGTGGTCCTTCTCAGCTTGCTCTTCCCCTTTCTCTTAAGGCTGCCTTGATGAGCCTGAGTTCCTGGCATGCATCACACACAGCACCACTAAAGACATGAAAACAAGATGCTCTTTTTCTTTGAGACAGGGTCTTGCTGTGTAGTCCAGATGACCTTAGTTTCATAGTAATCCCCTCCGTCATCTACCGGAGTACTAGATTATAAACATGTGCCATCATGATGCCTGATGTAAGTTGTTCTTATGCTGTTAAGAGTATACAAAAATAAGAAAAAGCAAATCAGGTACTCAATAGACCAGACTCTGGCTGGCAAGCTACTGAATCTCTGAGAGGTTTTCATTAATGTAGAAAAGGTACTAGAATAACAATGTCCCCATGGTTGCTGTAGTCCTTGGAAACAGTGGATGGAAGGCATTATGCAGAACAACAGAGCCTTGCAGGGACTGGTAGGGCAGATGCCCAGCAAATTGCCCACTTCACAGGGTCACCATACCTTGAGCTCCCGGCCTTGGCTTTCTCAAGTATGTGCAGGGCTCACTGGTGGACAAGCTCAAGGTGGACCTTGGTGTCCAGGCTGTGTTGAAGGCTCTCCTGGAGACCGTGCTGCAGCTTCTTCCTCTCATGGTCTACAGCTGCCTGAGTGCCTGCAGGTCCTCCCTGTAGTCACTGGCACATTGCTGCAGAGCCTGCTAAAGCTGGGACTGCTGAGATAGATATCCAGCCTCGGGGCCAGATCCTCCCTGCCCTAGGACTATTGTCCTTAAAGGCACCCTTTCCAGGGCCACCTCATCCTTGCTGAACATCCATCTTTGGAACTGTTGAGGGCCAGGGAGGGTGAAAGGCTTTGGACACTTTGGCAGTAAGTGCTCCAGAAGACTCTTCAGGTAGAGCCCCGAGTGCTTGGAAGGTGGTGGTTGTGGGCTGAGACACGAACCTTCCCAGAGAAATCGAGGGACCAAAGAAACCTTGCAGAGGTCCACAGGGCAGCCTCCCTTAGATCTCACTCCTTACTGAGGCTTTTCTTCTTGAAACTCTTCTAGTGTACTGTGTTTAGTATTTAGCACCTCTTCTGTAGACAGAAAACAGTTGTCTCTCTGTGGCTGTGGAGGACTGGTTCCATGGCCATATACAACACGGTAGTATCTGTATAACACACACACACACACACACACACACACACACACACACACACACACACACACCTTCCTATATTAAAGCCTTACTACATTACTTATAATACCAAATGCTATCTTAACAGTCATCAAGCTGCTTTGTTTAGATGATTATGGCAACATAAAGGTTTGCACACATTCAGTACAGATGTACTCTCCACCAAATATATTCTGAAGTTGGCCGAATCTACAGAGACAAAAACCTAGGACACAGACTACTTATTGTCTGCTCAACCTTTGGTGCATATGAATATACCCACTAAGTATAAAGTGAGGACTTTTATCTGATTTGTTCATTAATGGATCCTCCTGGCTCAGAGTAGGTGCTCATGAACACTGCAAGTTTTGTTTTTTTTCCTAACCACTACAATTCCAGATCATGGTGATTGTGAATAATTCTGCAGCAAGGAATGCACACATCTCTTTGATGTACTGTTTTTCTGTCTTTTGGGATCTCACTCAGTAATGAGGTTTCTGGATCATACAGTCATTCTATTTAGAATTTGGAGGGGGAGGCTGGAGAGATAGCTCAGCAGTCAAGAGCACTGGCTGCCCTTCCAAACACCCAGGTTTGATTCCCAGCACCCACATGATGGTTCACAGCTATCTATAACTCCAGTCCTGGGGGATCCAACATTCTCTTCTGACTTCTGTAGGTACCGCACACATAGCACACAGAAGAAATTCATGCAGGCAAAACACCCACACACATAAAACAAATATTAAATTTTTTTTGAGATTTTTATTTCATTTATCATTTTAAATTTTTCTTCCCTAGAGCTGAGGACTGAATCCAGGGCCTTGCGCTTGCTAGGCAAGCACTCTACCACTGAGCTAAATCTCCAACCCCTAAAATTTATTTTTATTTTATGTGTATGGTTGATTCCCCTGCATGTATGTATGTGCACCATGCATGTGCAGTGTCTGAGGAGTCCAGAAGAAGGCATTGGATCCTCTAGAACTGGAGTTATAGGTTGTTGTTAGCCATGTTGGTGCTGGGAATCAAACCAGTGTCCTCTGGAATAATAGTTCTTAACTGTTGAGCCATCTCTCCAGCCCTCTATTAAAAAAGATTTATATATTTTTATTTATGTGTATGTTTGAGCACTGGAAGTTTTTAATGAATAAGCAAACCCAAGATGTCTACTTTGCCCTGGACCTATAACACCCTCCCCAGCCTGATGGGAACTAGCCCTGTGTACTTTCCAAGGCTGTCTGTAGGAGAAGGCACAGTGGCACTCTGGGATGGCTGCAGCAGATCCTATCCAGAGCTGTCTTACTACCTGGGTTTGTAGTTTGGCCTTTTGGTTCTGCCAGTCCCCTGGTCGATGTCCAGTCTCCATTGCCTTCTCCTTCAGCACAGAGCCCAGTGGAGGCTGTAGGTCACTTCCTTCCTTGAGGGGTTCTCCAATCCTTTGAAGATATGAACAATAGAATGATGAAAGGTTGTAGATGTTTCAACTGCTCCTACCTGGGAGGAGGGAGCTCCTGGAGGAGTTACTGGGATAAGAAACCTTTGTCTTACAAAAAGCGACCTGACTTAACTTCTAAGTTTTAGCGTACAATGGTCTATAGGAACGACATGAGCTTAGTAAGTGCCTAACAAATAACAGGCTGTGACCTTAGAGTTCTGAGGGACCTGAGAAGCACCAAAAACAGGTCTCTAACCAAGTTTCATAATTTTTCCTATATAGGGAAAAAAAGAAAAAATACCACACTTTGCCCAGCCTTCCATACTTTCAAAGCATGCTCATAATTTTCACTGGCTATCCCAGGTATAAACTGGGAGATGGGAATTAGGCTTCTCCCTATTGAAAAGCTGGTCAAAAGCTTAAATAGTTTGGCATCTTAGAGAAGATGCTGACAAATGTCTTTCACGGAGATACTTTCTCACTCTGAACTCTTGAACTCTAGAAATTAAAATGCTTAGATTGGAAAATTAAGTGTTTGCCTTGTTTAACAGTGTGAAGGGATGTCACACTTTTAATTTCTCATGGCAAGAACATTAGGCCAGGGGACCAGAGGTTAGGGGGTAAAAGCTCCTGGGGAGAAGGGCATGAGGATGGGGGCTCTGCTTTGCAGAGAAAAGAAGGTCCAGACACACAGGCACAAGATATGTATATATAGGGCTGGAGAGGTTGCTCAGTGGTTAGGGGCACCTGCTGTTCTTGCAGAGGACCTGGGTTCAGTTTCCAACACCCACACGGTGGCTCACAAACATCTGTAACTCCAGTTCTAGGAGGTCTGACATCCTATGGCCTCCACAGGTATTCACACATGTATGCAGGCAAATATTCATACATATAAAGTGAAAACCAATTTTAAATCTTTAAAGTATATACTTGTATGAAAATATAATAATTAAAGCCACCATAAGGTTACATTACCATGGTAACAATATGCCCTAGTTAGGGACTATTTCTTCAGCCTGGGTCCCAGCATGAAAAGTCATGAATCAGAAACTTGAACTCTAGTATGGCAGAGCCATAACACATCATCCTCAGCTAGGGGGAGAAAGGTATGCGAACCCAGCAAAGCATGGCCAAGCCAAGCACAAAGGTAAACATCTCATAGCTTGAGGACGGCTAACAAAGCAGTGGTAGCTAATATAGGTGGGATCCATGGGGGTTTCTTCTGGTAACAGAGTTCACCTTTCTGCCCCGACAACAGAAGGAAAGGCTGTAGCCAGTCTAGGCTTGAATCTTGGGCAGAATTATTAATCTCTGAGTTTCAGATTCTTTATAAAGTGTCCTCTATGTTAGTGTGAAAGTTAAATAAGGTAGTTTATAGAAAGCCATAGCCGTGTAGAAGAACATGCAAGATATGTCTTCTCTCTCTAAGCATCAGGTTAAGCCAGCCATAAATACTTGAGGACAGAAGGAGTGAGCACGCAAATCCTTCCCATGTGAGTCTTCAGGCTCGGCACACTCAGAATGCTGCCAAGCTGCCTGTACCTTTCTTCTTCATCGCTGCTGGTTCCTTCTTCAGCTGTCAGGGTCTCCCGGCCCTCTTCTCCGGGCAGTGTCTGGGAAGGTTCCTTTGGCTTTGAGCACGGATCCTAAGGCCAAAACAATGACAAGATGAGACTAATGGAAGTTCCTGGATTTTACCTAGCTTGTGAAAACCAGAAAGCAGGCGAGAAAGGGCCTTCAGAGACCCGCTGGGCACCCCACTGGCAGATGTAGGACGGTAAGGTTGGGATGGTGAAGTACCTAGAACACAGCCACAGTTAGTGTGGGCTCTGACTCTTGTGTCCTGATCTGCAAGATAATTCACACAGTTGTAAAACAAACCCAAGAAAGAGTAAGTGTCTTGGCCAGTTCCCACCGTCAGTGAATTCTGCAATGGGATATGCAACGGAGCCTTCCCACACCGGTTCTGAACTTTTTACCACCTTATGAGACAATCCCAAGTGTGCCACACAGATGGTCCTTGTTGGGCCTGACCCAGGGAGGCATTGGAAAGTCAGAGGGCAGTTCTGGAAGTCAGTCAGTGGTCAGTAAAGGTAACTGTAGTCATCATTATGGCTCTATTCATACCCTAGACTGCAGCATATGCAGGATTAGGAAATATGGAACTTGACAAATGACTGGAAGCCCTGACGAACGGGAGATGGGAAGAGTGTGGAAACGGTTCCTAACAGTGAGGCCTCAGAGTGTTCAATCAATTGAATTTGTTCATGTTATCCTTCTCTCCTTTCCACAGAAATATAAGAGGGCAAAGACTTTGTTCCTTTCTCTGTTTATCATGAAAACTACTGCCCTCGAAGAGCAGAGGAATAAGATAGGTAGGAACAGATTTAATCTCAAGTTTCATCAAATGGTGGTAAGTTGCAACCTGATTTTTTTTTTTTCACAAGTTAGTTGCATGGCCTTGAGTCAGGGCCCTCCCTTTTTTGAATCTATTTCTTCTTATTTTTTAATGTAGACAAATGTGTTGGCTTGCACCTTTGTTTTTCAAACTGTTCTTGAGATCCTAGGTATGAGGAGCCTTGGCTAGGAAGAGGCAGTGTGAGCTGGAAGGCGGGTCCTTGGGCTTCTATGCCCAACTTGACCTGGAACAAAATTGCCTTCTGTGTTTTCATGTATGGTAATGTCTATTAAAGTCCACCACATAAGGGTAATGATCACTTTCACATGGAAAACACACTGTTAGTTCTCAGGGCTTAGCTAACTGGATCTCTCAACATACTTTGAGATAACCAACTGTACTGGTTGATTTTGTGTATCAACTTGACATAAGCTAGAGTCATCAGAGAGGAAAAAGCCTGTTGAGGAAATGCCTCTACCAGATGTAGGTGTAAAGCATTTTCTCAATTAATGATCCATGGGGGAGGGTCCAGCCCATTGTGGGTGGTGCTGTCCCTGGGCTGGTGGTCCTGAGTTCTATAAGAAAACAGGTTGAGCAAGCCAGGGAAAGCAAGACATTAAGCAACTACCCTCCATGGCTCCTGACTCCAGGATCCTGCCTTGTTTTGAGTTCCTGTCCTGACTTCCTTCAGTGATGAACAACAATGTGGAAGTGTAAGCTGAATAGACCCTTTTCTCCCCAACTTGCTTTTTGGTCATGGTGTTTCGTTGCAGCAATAGAAACCCCAACTAAGACATCAACCCCTCTTTCCTTCATGCAGGAGTCTGCATATTGCCAGTCGGAACCACCTGTGCCATTTGCTAGTACAGGCCGATGGACTGTAACTCTTTCCTGGGCTTTCTCTGCCTCACCTTGCACCTGCTGCCCTTTCCCATCCCCCTTTTCTGCCCCAGACCCAGTCCTTGAACTTTCTTATGTTTTTCTTGCCTTAGAGTCTCATCTAGTGCCATTGCATTAAATGTCACATGGATACTGATGCCACAGAAAAACAATGTACCACTCCACTTATTAGGGAAACAAAAAATGGCCAACTTAATAAAGTTAGAGAGTGGAATAATGATTCCCATGGGCTGTGGTGGTGAGATAGAAGTAGAGAGTATCATTCATGCAGGCTGACTGCCACCTAGAGATCTGCTTGCTGTACAGGACAGAATCTGTAGTCAACAGTGATGTATGGTACATGACAAGTATTCTTACTACAACAAACAGATCAACCTGAGAGATGAAGGTTGCTTAGTTTCCTCACTGAACATGGAAATAAACTCAGTAGTTCTTTCTATCCGTTGGTATCCATCTTCCTGAACACAAGAGACAGAGGTATCTGCTGCTGTTTGGGTATGGTTTGCCCCTAAGAGTTGCTACATTGGGAGGCTGTCCACAGTTAGGGGCATGGAAACTCATGGGACCTTTAAACGGTACAGCCTAGTGAGAAGGTCTAGGTCACTGAGATCCGACTCTCAGAAGGGAATATTGGTCTCACAAAGTGAGTTCTGGAAAGAGCAAGTTGTTACATAGTCCCCAAGCTGTGTTTCTCTCTGGATTCCCTGCTTCACAGGCAAGCTTTTGTTTCTGCACATACCTGGGCCCTCTGTCATAGACTCTTACCAGGGCTCCAAAAGTGGGGCTAGATGAAGCTCTTTACAAGGCCATAAAGATGCCTAAGACATTACATTGTAGTAACACAAAAAGACCAACACAGAATTTTTCCCAAAGAAAGAATAGAATATGCCTCCAACACTAGTGATTAAAAAAAGACTCCAGGGTTCTTGTGAAACAAAGGTTTGTTGTAGGAGTTTCCTAATCTAACCTTTTAATTACTGGGACTAAAGAATGACACTCTGTTTCATTCATTCCACTGTGGTGCCAGGTACAAGTCTACCTGAAAGGTGCCGGACACCAGTCATTTGTAGGTACATTAGCGCTGGAAGAATAACTAAGAAGGTACAATTGTTATTCCCACAAACGTGGTCCAGCATGGGGAAGTGACACACAGCTTGACGATTCCCACAGACTGTGAGAAATCCTCCTCTCTCACCTGACCTTATGCACTTGGTGTTTCAGGTCAAACACATCACTCAAAGGTGCTGAGGTGGGCTGGAGATGGTTCAGCTGTTAAGAGCACAGGTTGCTCTCTCAGAGAACCCAGGTTTGAGTGTGAGCACCCACATGGTAGCTTACAACCATGTGCTGCTCCAGTTCCAGGGAATCTGACACACTCTTCCGGACTCTGCAGGCATCAGGCACACATGTTGTACACAGACATACAAGCACTCATATACATAAACATAAAACATTTTTTTAAAAGGTGCGAGGATAACACTTGAACTCATTATACAAATGAACTGTATTGTGCAGAGCAATAAGGAGGAAGCTGAATGAGCACTCCCAAGCCTAGAAACACGGTTAGAATAGTACACGTCTCTGAACTCCAGCCAGAGTACGACTGTTTCAGCTGTCTACTTCTTTGAACTCCAACCAGAATAGACGCTCACTATTCTGTAGTTGTTACTAGCTTGTCATCCTAGCAAGCCCCCCAGCAGGAATGGCTACTCTGGCCTCTGGGACTGAGGGTATCATATGTTACTTGCCCCTGGATCTCTCTTAGGCACTCCATTGGGTTCTCAGGTTCAGCCCAGTGCTCTCTCCACTGCTACAGGAGTCAGAGTATAAACAGTGCACACATCGATATAAACAACTCTGCCTCTCCGCCAAAATATCCACCAAAGAGCCTCTTCCCAAGCAAGGGTGGTTATTTTAAAACCTTTTAGTTATTTAACCTTATCTAGAGGGTTTTTTCTCCTCTATTTTAAAGAGAAACTCACTCCCAGGAAATCTTCTGGATAACAGCATTCAAGGTCATTTTAAAGTTCAGTTGACAATCTTTCAAAGGTGGCACTTTGTCCATCTTAAAATAGAGCACCTAAGGTAATGGTGTTTTGCTGAACTGATTTCTGGGAACTGTAATAGATACTATAAAGTCACCTTATATTTATAGAATGTTTAATGGTTTCAAGAAATGCTATCATATGGTTTCTGCTGTCTATTACCGCAAGTCTCTGGGGTATGGAGGGTAGTGGTTATTGCTGCCATTCCATGAAAAAAAGTAACATAGGGCCTCAATTTTCTATGCATAAAATGAAGAGAGTACTAGCATGTGCCTGGAGGTTGTTGTAGGGCCTGTAGACACCAAGTTGGGGCTTTCTTTGTGTTACATGTGGGAACTGATCTCGAGGAGGCATTCACACTTATCTGAGGTCTTGAGCAGGCCTGGGGTAGAGCTGGCAGAACCCTTATCTCAGTCCCAGATGGGAGCTGCTGCCCTGCCTTGTGTTGTCTTCTCAGCATCCAGAGATTCTCCACTGATTCCAGGAATCTCTCCAACAGGTGAAATCATCCCACCTTGTTCCCAATGAGAAGGGACTAAAGCCCTCCGCTAGCACCAGATGAACAATGCCAGCCCCTCACAGCCTGAGGACACTCCAGACATCACAGTTATTTTCCTCTTGGATAGCTCATGGCTTGGATTCATATCATCTTTCAGGTATGTGTCCAACTAGTCACACAGGGTTTCCAGTGAGCAAAAGATACTTCTTAGGCCCATGGTGCCCCCTTCTTCCTTCCTACAGCTCTTGGGAATCTCATCTTGTGCTTTTCCTAGAATAACTCTTTCTGGTGAGATCATGCCATGTCAGCACATGTCAGCAGATGTTGCTCTTTTCCAAACCCTCCCAGAGAGTTCCCCCTCTCCTAAGGGCTGTACACGAGCATTTCTGATATTGTTGTAGCACTCATCACACCATGGTATTCTTTGAGAAAATATCTGTTTTCTTCCATTTGAATTAATCCCACCAAGGAGAAACCCGGGCCTTTTCAGCTAGGCCTCCAGCCCCAAGTCTTGTACAGTGTACCCACACACTCTTGAGGATGGAATGACTTCCCTAGTAATTACCACAGCTGCTCTCTTTTCCTTCTGTAGAGAATGAGGCAAGGGCTGCTATAAAAATCTCTCCCCCTTTTTGTCCCTAATTTGGTATCTATGTACCAAGAATCTTCCAGAATAAAGTTTCTTTTCAAAATTACTAAGGCTAGACTGGCTTTGTGAAAACCAGTGAATGACACCATCGGCCTAAGAAAATCACAATACTGGACATGAGGAACAAGGGGAAAGACTGGCTTTGTGGAAACCAGTGAATGATACCATAGGCCTAAGAAAACCACAATAATGGACATGAGGAACAAGGGGAAAGCTTTAGTTGGACCTTTGCTAACTTTGGTGAGGACATATCCCAAAGCCACACCCAGGTCTGAACAAGGACAAAGATTTAGTTAGACCCTAGCTAACTTAGGTGGGGACACACCGTAGAGCCACACCCAGCTCTGGCAACCTCTGCATGCTTGGGGAGTGGAAATTCTGCTCTCAATTAGCATTGTTATTTTTATCACTCTTGACTCACTAAAATACGTTGGCAGGACAACCAACAGCCTAAGTTTAAAACCCTGACTCTTAAATTTTATAGACACCAATCTAGCAAGCACATCACCAGGGAGGCTGGCATTTAACACTCTGCTTTGGTGTTCATGTGCCAGCATCAGAACAGCCCTAAACATAATAAAGGCAACCTACAGCAAGCCTTTAGACAGCATCAAATTAAATGAAGAGAAACTCAAAGCAATTTCATTAAAATCAGAGACAAGGTTGTCCACTCTCTCCATATCTATTCAATATAGTACTTGAAGTCTTAGCTAGAGCAATAAGACAACTGAAGGAGATCAAGGGGATATAAATTGGAAAGGAAAAAGTCAAAGTTTTACTTGCAGATGGTATGATAGTATACATAAGTGATTCCAAAAATTCTTCCAGGGAACTCCTACACTTAAGGCTAGTTGCTAAGAACCAAGGAAGAATAAGAACACCTCCAGGTTTCTCCAGCAGAAGCCTCAGGGTGGACTGGGACAGCCTGAGAGCAGGAAGTACGATTGCAGGGAGGAAGTAGTCTCTGATTCTTCAGGCTTCTCTTCTAGCTGACATGAAGGCAAAGGCATTGTTGACAGGTTCTCTGCCAGTCTAGTGTCAGAGGCAACAGAGGGAGTCCTGGTCACTTTCCTTAATCCCAAACGAGTTGAGGCCTCTTTTCCCTGGAAGGTTTGTGACTATGTCACATGCTAAGGACAAGACAGGGTCAGATCCAGTGGTTCCATCCTGGCTCAGCTGCTAGGGATCTGGGATTTGTTAGGTTTCAAACCTGGTGCCTATTTAACATATGAAAGCAGACACTGGCCACCAGGATCTCCCTGCATCCCTCAGTCCCTACCTGTTATAAGGCCCTCCTGGTTGGTATAACCTGCCCTCTATCCTAAACTTCTTCAGCCCAGGGTCTGGGTTGCCCTTCCCCCAGCTGCCCTTCCCTATATAATCCAATCATTTTGGTTACCTGGCCCTTCTGCCTACTCTGGGCCTCCTGGCTGCTGCTGCCCTGGTTCCCCTCTGTCCCCTCCCCCCTCTCCTCATGTGGCACAGCTCAGTCTGGTCATGTCCACCCTAGACTCTCCCAGATGTCCCTGCCTCTGGCTATGCTTTACCACATATGTACAATAAACCTTCTCCTTTACCACACCTAGGAGCAGTCAAGTCCCTTTCCTTTTTATTTCTTTTTTTTCATTCATCTCCTAACTATATACACCTTCATTTTCTTCTTCTATAAAATGCATTTATTGTAAGACTCTAATGAAGTCAAACATGGAAACAGGGCTTTATAATTGGACCAGTTCCCATCCAAATGTTATTCAACCCACATTCTCTTGATTCTTGACGTTCCCTGGTAAATATGTGCTTTACTAAGGCTCATCCCATTGCTGCAGTAGCATTAGAGGTCCATTAGGGGAAAGCTGTTATCTATCAGTCAACAGAATGGAATCTGCCCTTAGGTGGATTAACTCCTTTAAGAATTAATGCACTTGGGCAGGTCAATCAGCTGGCCAAGGAAAGTCACTCTACAGATGTAGCATAGAGACGCTGCCCTTAGGTGGATTAACTCCTTTAAGAATTAATGCACTTGGGCAGGTCAATCAGCTGGCCAAGGAAAGTCACTCTACAGATGTAGCATAGAGACGTATATAGATAACTTCAGAAGAAAATGTAGAATGCCGTTGACTGGCTCATCTTTTTCTAGAACCAAGCAAGCTGCTAATTTGTGATGGCATTTGCAGCAGCCTGTTTACAATGTGCCTAACTGACCCGGGAGAACTGAGTCCCAGGTTAATGACCACATTCAGGAGGCTTTGTTTCATTACCCAGAATCTCTTGTCTTCTGTTTCAGGTTTTAAGGCTAGAGGAATTTATCCAAAAAACATAAGGCATCTCCACTGGGAACTGAGGCAGGGTCCCGGAATTTAAGTTGCTAGCTCTGTGTTGTGGTAGAGAGTCAGGTAACCTTTAGTTTTTGTGCACTAATTGCAGATATTTCTCTTTTCCTTTACAGCCTCTCTCTGTCTGCAGTGACACACGCTGACAGCCACAGACTTCTTTATGTGCCCCCTCAGCAAAGCCAAATGCTTAAGGGGAAAGAAAAAAATCAGCACAAAATCCATTTGCGAAAACCATGAAGGAAATAAAGTTCTGAGGAATTATCCTTGTGGCCTGAAAAGGGAGAAAGCTCGTCAGATTAATCTCCTGAGAAGGCTGTCTATGCAGAGGGACAAAAGGGGAGGGAGCCTTGAATGTGTCCAGCACTAACCACAGTCCCCAGCGCTCCCTCCACATCCTTGCTCCTGTTTCCTGTCAGAGCAGGCTTGCTTAGGAAGCTGTCCTTGCAGGGACACCCAAAGGTAGAAACTGGGTCCTGTGTGCTGCATTTGCAGTAAGCCGTGTTGTTTTCCTAGGACTGCAGTGATGCATTTCCATTGGTTTTTAGCTTGAACAATAGACATTTATTCTCTTCTAGCTCTGGAGACCCGGTGTCTGCCGGCAAAGTGCTGGCTGCACTGGTTTCCCCCGTTTCAAGCTCTAAGGGCGACCCTGCCCCCAGCCTATCCCTTAGCTTCTGATGGCTGCTGGCAATCTTTGCTTTTCCTTGGTTTGCCCCACACATTAATATGTCTGCCAGTGGTCACATGGCTTCCTTCCCTAAGTGTTTGCCTTTGCATAGCCTCCTAAGGACAACAGTCATTGGATCTAGGACCCACTCTAATCCAATGTGACCTCAACTGATTACTTCTACCCAGTGTTTATTCCCAAGTGAGGTCACCTTCTCAGGGATTGGGGTTTCAGATTCCAACACACCTTCCTCAGACACAACTTTAACCCACAGAACAGGTGCAACATGGGCACTCTGTTAACATCCCCATGTAACTCAGAAGTAGAAATAATTCCCTTGGAGTTGGTGAATGAGGGTCCTGACTAGAACAACTCTTATTTATTATTATTATTATTATTATTATTATTATTATTATTATTTAGAACTCTTTATTCCTATTTTGGCAGTAGGAGACATAAAAAGACACACCTTAAATTTTACTTATTTTATCGCTATTCAGGTTTCTATTAACTTCAGATTCAGGTGGGAGAATACGATACAGCAGAGCCTGAAACTTAGCCATCCCCAGGCTCCTGTTTCCCCATTTCTGCATACCGCCCTTTCTCCCCCAGTCCTCCAGTCACTAGTCCTGACACCAGATCTTAGGGGAGGCCTTGCTAAGATGGTGTCTGGAAATTGTGGGGAGCCCCAACTGGGGTGCCATATATTACCTGGGAAACTGGGGGCCCTTCTCGAGATTCTTAATCTCATTAGTGATAGAATTTAAGAACAGACTTAGAGGAAAGTTTGGGGCAATTTTATTGGAGTTTGAAAGAGGAATCCCAGGGCAGGCAAACTAAATCTAAGCAGCTGCACACAAGAGGGAGGAGGAAACGGGAAGAAGGAAAGACATTCCGTTCCAAAGCAGCCATGTGGCAGAAGGGAGGAACGGTAACTCAGAAAACTAATGGGAGAGGCTTGGACGGTCACTCTGTTTTATTTCATCCTCTTTTTCTAACGAAGAAAAGAACAGACAAAAGTTATGACATGCCTAAGGCACACAGTATTAGGTTCCTTAATTTCTTTTCAAAAAACATTTAGTGGGTAAAATAAACAGCACTGATGAACTGCACAGCTGAATTGAGAGAAGAGTATCTAGAAGGCACCATTAAATTATAAAGTTTTAATTGTGGTGATAATCATGAGCCAACTAATTGTAACTTGTCAATTAAACAGATTGCTTTTCCCTGCAGACTTGGTGGAAAATGAGGCCAGTAGCTGCAAGGGAAGCTCAGGCGCTGCTGGCAAACCTGTGTAGCTCTCATACTTGCCGTACTCTACAGTGGGCACAAGAAGGGGAGGGAAGGAACACAGTAAGGGAAAGACTGTAAGATATTGAAAATAGTTGCTGTCCTTCAGCTGTCATTTTGAGGGGGATACAGGTTTATAACCATAGCAACCCTCGGTGGTGACATGTACAAAACAACATACCACCATCGACAATGTATTGGTGCCAGTAACACATGAAAGTGTTTGTGGTGGTTTGAATGAGAATGGTCTCCATAGGCTCATAGATTTGAATACTTGGTCATCAATAGGTAGAACTGTTTGGGAAGGATTAGGAGGTGTGGCCTTGTCAGAGGAGGTGTGCCACTGTGGGGTGGGCTTTGAGGTTTCAAAAGCCCACACCTTTCCCAGTTGGTTCTCTGTGTCTTGTGCTTGTGGATCAAGATGTTAGCTCTTAGCTGCTGCTCTTGTGCCATGCCTGCCTTCCTGCTGCCATGATTCCCACCATAATCATCATGGACCCTAACTCTCTGAAACTATAAGCCCCAGATAAACACTTTCTTCTATAAGTTGCCTTGGTCATGGTGTCTTATCACAGCAATAGAAAAGGAACTAAGACCGTATTTTTATCATATTCAATCTTTCAGTCCTCACGCTGCTCCCAGTGATGCAGGTAGGATGGTGTAGAAGTTGGGACAATGCATTCTGGCCTGGGGAGCTAGCAACTTCAAGAGTATGAAAGGATGAATAGGAATCTTCCAGGAGTGAGGGTAGGGAAGGGCATTCTAAGAAACAAGATTAGCAAGTATAATGGGAGAGGGTAGGTAATATTAAAGGAGTAATAAAAACCTATTAAGGAAAACTCCTTCTGGTCCAGAGTCTAGACTCTCTGGCCTGGGTGAAGGCCCAACATTTTAGTTGTGTTGGGTCAATTACCACTCCTAGGAAGGCAGGCTCATATTAAGCCACTCTAAAGAGATAAATGGAGTAGTTTTTCCTTCAATGAGATACTGTACTTCCCTTTCCCAGAATTCCTGCTCACCTTCTCCCATGGCACCATCTCTACAAGCAAGCACAATGTCTGACTGGGTCTCCCCACCTGTCTGAGGCCTGAATCAGACAGGTGCAACTGCTCCTCTCTCTGGTTTCTTTCTTCTAGATGCCAGGCAGAACTGTAAGTATGCTTTTTCTGATACTTTATGCTTCTTTACTCTTTCTTTAAAGCTCCCTTCGCTCTGTGTGGCTGCTTACCCACCATGCATATGACCTCCGTACCAGTCTAACTGGCATGGCTGTTTCCCTCCTCTCTGCCATCCTCCTCCTCTGGGCAGCTTCTGTGCTTTGCAGCTTGTCTGTCCGCGGGCTTTCCTCTTTTAAACTCTAATAAGATTGCCCTCGAGCTTTCATTTGAGTTTAAGTGTCTTTTATTAATGAGACCAAGAACCCCAATAGGGGACCCCAACCTCCCCTGTACCATTTGGCGATCATGAAGGACGACCAAATTTCCAGTGATAATAGGATGGATATGAGATTGAAGTAAGGTTTCAGCTGGTGGGTGTATGCAGGAGAGAGTAGACAGGGTGGGTAGAGCCCGGGGATTAGGGGTCTAAGATAAGTTGAGCAAAAATTGGAAAAAAAAATAGGGATTACAGATTTTAGGGAAGGAGGAATGGGCCTTATTGTGGGTTCGGATGTTAGAAAATGAATTCTGGAATTAGCAGGTCCATGAAGAATGCCTCTGACAATGCTCTTGCTGAGTGTAGGTAATATCACAGCAAAGCTGCTGCTTTATGTGAAGCTCTTTAGAATGTATCTTTGTTTTTATTGTTGTTGTCTTGTCATGTTTTATTTTAAGAGCCAGGTGTTACTATATTGGCCAGGTTGTTCTTAAATTCCAGGGCTTAAGCAATCCTCATGCCTTAGCCTCTGAGTAGCTGGTATTACAGACATGAGTCACCATGCCTAGCCTGGAACTGTTTATGTAACACCTCTAAGTAGCCTACGGAGGTGAACAATTCTGAGAGTCTTGCCCAAGACATTGTGTAGAAGGCAGGGAGGTGACAGACAGGCTTGAGCCACAGGACCCACATGGCTTGACCTGGATGGCTGTGATAGTGAGGTTAGGAAGGGACTGGGGTTGAGAATGCGAGATCTGGGAGATGTTAGGCTGGCCCAAGATGGAGCCTCCTAAGACACCAAGGTGGATAACCCATGTAAGAACATGCCCCTTCAGGGAAATGGAAACTGAATGTTCTGCACTTTTCAGAAACCACATGACCCTTATCTCAGAAGAGCAGCTTGATCACAACATCCTGATATCCTAATAACCAGAAGTTCCCTCAAAAAGATTTTGCTCACAACAGTTAGTAGCAGAAGCAGTATTGCTTGTAGCACTTCCTTTCCCCTTAGTGCCTTCCTGCCATTCTCCCATGGAACAAAAAACCACTCCATAAAATCCCAAACTCCCCTTTTGGTGCTACTGCTCCCCCTGGAGACAGCACATGCGTGAAGTCCACCTGCCAGGAGACCTGGATGTGGCCAAGGGGATCTTTCCTTTTCCAGGTCTGACAAGCGGTTAGTTAGTAGCACTGTGAGTGTGGCAGAAGGCACTGAGGCCAAAGAACAGAGTGCAGCTCTGTCCATGGTCACGGCTTCCGACAGGTCCTGACTGAGCCTCAGTCACGGGAGGTGACACCACAGGTAGCATGGACACACTGGTGAAGAGTAGGAGCAACACTCCAAGAGTGTGAATGTTCGCTACTTATTAATTATGTACTTGGGGGAAGGAGATCTACCGTTTCTGCCTCTGTTTTCTCAATATCCAAACTAGGGATAATAATAGCATCTATGTTACAAGCTGGTTGGGGGTGGAAAGTTAATATATGCAAAAACAACTCAGTATCTTGATTTAGGAGACCGTTCCATTAGGGAAGCCAGTTTTTATGGTGCAAGTTGGTCTCATACACTTTAAGCTCTGCAGAGCAGAGCAGTCACAGGGGTGGTAAGAAGATGGGAGGCACTGAAGGGGGGAGGGGAGGGGAGGAAGGGGGCACAAAGAGGCCTCCTTGCTGTGCAGCTCCTCAGAATGCATCAGCACAGACACTGTCTCCACAGAGAGTCTTTCAAAGCCAACTTGAGATCCTGAAATAATAGATCTCAGTCAGGGCACGGTCAGTAATTATTATTTTGTTTTGTTTTGTTTTCTTCTTTAATGACCATTTCAGAGATAGAAAAAGAATTGGAGAACATTATGAATGACAATTGCGTACTCACAGGTCAGAAGAAGTAATACACCACAAACACAGAAATGACCACTGACCAAATTTTACTCCATCACCATCCTGAAATCTACCTCCACAGATATGAATTTCTAAGCAATTGACACTATTTGGCACATAGTCTCTGTGTTCTTGAAAGTACCTCAGTGTTGTTAGGTGTGTAGCTCAGTAGTTTAGCCCTTGCCTCCTAAGGCCATAGGTTTGCTTCCTTGAGGCTGTGGTGCATAGGTAGGGTTGAGGAGCCAGTGTCATAGGTCCTTGAGGGCACTAGGAGATATGGGCTTCTTCAAGGTTTGATGAAAAGCAAGGAAAAAGAGACCTCTTTATACTTTTTGGTCCAACCAGGCTCCAAAATGGCTCTGAGATCCTGTTGCCAGCCTCTTCCACTAATTCTCAATACTTTTAAGAACCTGCACTTTAATTCCTTTTAAAATCCAAAGAAATATCCTCTGTGTGGATTACATTTATCTATCAATGTAGTCATACAATTTTCATACACTTGTTATAACAGAAGGGGCCTAGGAAGGCAAGGGCACCTTGGACCACAACGGCGACAAAGCATCTTGGAGCAGAGGGACAGGAGAGTTTCCACCCCTGCTATCACTTCGCTACAGAATCAATGGCAGCAGCCTCCAGCTTCCTTCTTTTATGTGAGGCATTAAAGGCCTTTTTGTTTAAGTCTCTATAAATCAGCCTCTCTGTTATTTGCAGCTAAATTTGTGCCTCCCCCCACCTCCCCGCCCCACAGCCTTCCTGCCTGGCTGGATGCCCTTCATTTTGTTCAGAGGACATAGGAAGGTGGTGAACTTCTGATCTCATTTGGCCAGAAACTCCCAGGGGTCACAGCCTCCATTCACAATCATGTTTTTAGGATTTACCTCAAGTAGAGAATTCTGAAGCTTCTCACTGAGGGCAGCTTTCTCATCTTCCAGTTGCTTTATTTCCCTTTCTGATTTTGTCTTTACTTCTTCCAATTGAGCTTCTACTTCCTAGATGAGGATTAGAACGATTAGCCACACAAGGTAGGAAAACAGGCCACTTATACATCCACACCTTGCCTTATTTCTGAAGGGGATCAAAGAAGCTAGTAGAATAAAATACTGTAAGAGCACATGGATTCTAAGTACACAGCTGGTCAAGAGAAAACAAACATTTAAATTCATACCACACAGCCTGGTGCATGTACAGATAGGTTAGGGTGTGGCAGGTGGATCCTTAACTGCTGTGGATGTCGTTCTGTATAAATAAAACACTGATTGGCCAGTGGCCAGGCAGGAAGTATAGGCAGGACAAAGAGAGAGGAGAATTCTGGGAAATGGAAGGCTGAATGAGAGAGACACTGCCAGTTGCCGCCATGACAAGCAGCATATGAAGATGCTGGTAAGCCACGAGCCACGTGTCAAGGTATAGATTTATAAAAATGGGTTAATTTAAGATATAAGAACAGTTAGCAAGAAGCCTGCCATGGCCATACAGTTTGTAAATAATGTAAGAGTCTGTGTGTTTATTTTATAAGTGGGCTCCGGGACTGGCGAGACTTGGCGGGAGCTGGAGAGAAATTCTCCAGCTATACTTACTCTAAATTTTCTAGCATCAAATAAGAAAAGGAATGTTCCAAGTGTCCCATAAGTAAAAAAACAAATCAAAACAAAATAAACAAACAAGCAAAGAGTACCCAACTACATTTTCATGGCATCTTCATGGCATATCTCCACAGGATCCATACGGTAGCTAGAATGATGACTCATCCACAGTCCCTCCCACAGCCTTCCGGCATCAGTGTGAAGCAGTTACAGTCCATTCTGGAGACCAAGTGAGAAGCATTGCCTTATCTTAGCTGTATCATCCTGAGCACACTTCCTCCTGTGTGTGCTCAATGTGTTACATGCTGAGCACAGCAACAATTCAGTAAGTGGTAAGCACAGAGTCATCCCTAGGGATGCGTAGCTTTTCCAATATGGCTTAATTTATGGAGAAAGTCTCTACATAGAGGAGGGCAGTCTATGGCTCTCACCTGACCTTTAGCTAGACAGCATCATTCATTCATCCAACAAATATTTACTGAGCTGTCCCATGTGCTGGGTACTATTCTCCAAGCTAGAGTTTAAAAACAAACAAACAAAAACAATCCTAACATGCTTAAATATAAGTGAAAAACAAACAAAAAAGTTAATAAGTACAACGTGATAAATACTATGCTTGACAGAGAAATAAAGAAAAGAAAGGGCTAAGAGTGGTTAGAGGGAGGATAAAATTTTGGATACTTTGGCCAAAGAAATGCTATCGAGAAGGTGACTTTTGAGTGAGATTGGGAGGCAGGTGGACCTGTGGTGACAGCATGGCTGGAGAGGAGGGTAGCTATGTGGACTTGCTTGGAATGTTGGCAATAGAACTCATTGAAAAGAAATAGCTCAGTGGTTAAGAACACTAGCTATTCTTGAAGAGGGCCAGGGTTTGATTCCCAGCACCTACATGGTGGCTCACAACCATCTGTAACTCCAGTCCCAGGGCATCTGACACCCTCCTTTGGCCTCTGCACTCTCTCTCACACACAGATACAAAGTTAAAAAAATGAATAAAATTAAAACAAAACAAAAACCTCAAGCAAGACAACTATAAGAAACTCCCAGACTATACTATCTGAGGCTATACCATCTGAGAAAGAATGTGGAGAGCAGGCATTCTATGCTGGTTATGGACCTTTCTGGTCTAATAAATGGATGGGCATAATAAATGTGGCTGAAGTTTAGCAAGTGATGACCATTTGTGCACACTGTTCACAGATGAATTCTTCAATATTTAGGTCCTACCACTAGAGCTTATCATATAAAAAGAGGAAATCAAGCTTAGAGATGTGCAAAGACTTGCACAAGGTTATTCCTGCAGTAAGTGAGATGTCAAGGTTTGAACTAGGAACACATGGATTGGCTGTGGTCTCTGCTAATTTCTCATGGGAAATGTGGCACTTAATTCAGCCAGGCGCTTGACTGGAAAGTTTCCCCACTTCTGCTACAGGGAGGATGAGAGAATACCTGGGCCCGTCAAAAGCAGGGTAGGGAAGCTGTACCAGCTTGAGCTGTCTCTTTACAGGGGAGGCACACTGGAATCTGTCCTTGTCAGAGGTTTGTGTTCCTGGGGCAACGCTGGGTGTCAGACAGAGAGCCCTGTCGCTTATCCATGTACCCAGTCGTTGGTGGCCATGGCAGAGGAGCTTCAGTCAGCAATAGACCTCACAGAGTTCAATTCATCAAATATCAAAGCTAAACACCGGAGGAGCAAAGCCTAGGGCAGGGGTGGGGGGTGGGAAGTAGGGGGTGGGGGAGTGGGGGATGGTTTCCAGAATGCCCCTTGCTCCTGCTGTGCTTCCTTCTGTTTGCTGCTGCCCTGTTCCCCCTGTAGTTGGCATGGTGTGACCGCTATATAAAAGGATCCCACTGTATCTAGTAGAGTGTGATTGTTTTCTGGGGAAATCCCACTCCTCACCTGGCAATTTATTTGCAGATCATAATGAAAATGACTTTTATAAGAGCAATGATACTTAGTTGAACCAATGATTTCATTGGACTTTCTGAGCTAGTCTAAACAGGTGGTTAAAAGAGTTAGTCAAGATGATTAGAGAAATAGTTTAGGTTATTCTGCCAATTGCTCCAGTAAGAGATAGAGAAAAGGCAAAAATAGTCTAGAAGTTGCCTTCCCTTTTGTTAGATATGAGATTTATAGAAGATGAAAAAATAAAAACAAAGAAGTTTCATGCATTATAGACTCATGAATTCTGCCTGTGGAAAACAGGCTGATGATTAAAGAAAACAATTATGTCTCCACACCCAAGGTTAGGCCTGAGTTTCTTAGGCATGTAACTTACAGAATTAATCACAGACCTTGGTATGCACTTTGAAAAGACAAAGACATGAAAGGAAATTAAATGACCCTATTGTATATAAAGAAAAAATAGATGGTCAGCTGAAGCCACAAACAGCTGCCTGCCAATACAAAAGGAACTGGCCGAAATAATACTTAGCTTGCTTAAACATTTTTTTTTTAATCAGCAATAAAGGAATCATTACTTTGGGGTGAAGATGCTTAGGTGGGAAAATTAACACAAAGAAAAATGTTTAACTACTTGTTGGTTTCTAAGGAAAACATGTAACTTGTGATCTTAATGTGATTTCTGTTGTGGAATGTTATTTAACCAGGCAAAGATATGTTACAATTGCTTATGCTGCATTTGTTTAATGATGTAAGGCTGTGTTACACTTGTTTGTGCTGTATTTGTTTAATTATGAACAGATGTGCTGCTCTTTTACCTTGCCTGTCTAAGGCACCTGATTGAGCTGATAAAAAGCTGAACTGCCAATAGGCAGGCAGTAGAGGGATGGGCAGGGCTGGAAGGCAGAGAGTATAGAAAGAGAAATCTAGTCTCAAAAGAAAAAGAAGAGAAGGAGGAGAAGAGAATGAGGGAGAAAGAGAGGGTCACGCCCAGGGCCAGAAACTAGGCAGCCACTAGCGAGACAGACACTGGAGGAAGCAGGAAAGTAAGACATAGAGAAAGAAAGGTAAAAAGCCCCAAAGCAAAAGGTAGATAAGGAAAAACAGGTCAATTTAAGTTAAAAGAACCAGCCAGAAATGAGCCTAGCTAGGCCAAGCATTCAAAACTAATAATAAGTCTTTGTCATGATTTGGGAGCTGGTTGGTGGCCTAAAAGAAAAAGCCTGGTACATGTTTCTTCTTATATAAAGATTTTAATTTGTTCTTGGAAAATATATAGCTTATGGTTGTGAGGTAATCTTTTTCTGCATAGAAATCTTTGTATAAGGAGGTATAAAAGGGCTAAGAGAAAAATAATAAGAAAAGAAAAAGGAGAAGGACGATATAGAAGGAAAAACACCAGGAAAGAAGCAGAAAGGAACAGCTGGGTAAAGAAACAGAACAGGGAAAGAACAGAACAGGAACAACCAGCAGAGAGAAAAAGAAAGTGAAGAACTAAGCTTTGGCTCTCAGGTGAAGTTCCCTTACGTGTCTGCGCATCTGTTCCAATAGTTCGTCTATCTACATCTCCTCTCCAGTTTCTCTGACCTGCTGAGAGCCTGCTGGGCCCCTCAGTGGCAAATGACGCCAACTGGACAGCCACAATATGCAAATTTCAATGATAAGGAGCTTCAGATACAGTCAGTACATGCTGGTAAATGTCTAACAGGTGGCTTTTCAAATCTATAAATTAACGGATAGTAACACATTGATGGTAGCATTTCTTGGTTTTCATGGTATAAGTACTTTTATTGTGGCCAATGTCAAATTAGTACAGTGATGTAGAGTGTGAAACTGGAAAGAGGTATGACGACTGCCTCATGAGCTAGTGTGAACTGGCTGATATATATATATCTCCCCAGTATCACAGAGCTGGACAGGTAAGACTTGAGAGAAGATTGACATTTAAACCAGGATTGCTAAGATCAGTAAGAACTAGATGGGTGAATTTGAGAGTGAGGAGGAAGTTGTCTCCATCAAGGAAAATCCATGCACAAGGGCCCAAAGAGAAGGAACACCAAGCACATGAGGAACAAAAGGAGTGCAGAGTTGGACATAGGCAGGAGAAGCAGACAGAAGCTTGTCTCTGCAGGGTCTGAAGAACTATGGGAAAGAACTAAAGTTCACTGTTGTGATGACAGGGAGCTCTGAGTGGCTGGCAGCCAAGGCTGAGCTGGCACAAGGTTTTACCAGGGTGGATTGGGTGATATGAAGTGGGGAGAGTGGAAGCAGACAGGTTATGACATGGTCCATCAAATCATGGAGGTTGACAAGGTCTACCTGGAAGCTTTGAGGACAGAAGGATGTGCAGATGTTCTGGGGCCATCAGAATAGAACAGACTTCACATACTTCTGTGTTGAACATGAGGGGTGGAGAGAAATCCTATTTGATTCCCAGGTTTCTCATCTGAACACCTAAAAACATGTGCTATGGATCACCTGAACAGCATCTTCACATCCTCTGTGGGACCAAGCCTAGGCAGGCAGTGGCCCTGGGGTAGCCCTCAGCACTCTTCCTTTGGGGAAAACATTTTTAAAAAGTCTAAATGAGCTTGTAATTAGACTTTTGGAGCTGGGTGACATGGCAACTTGGCATGTGGTCTCTCTTCGGTCAGCCTATGCTATGTTCTTCAGGACTTCCTGTTTGGGAACGTTTACTTCTTAAAAACAATATATAAATTACCTTTGCTACTAAATACATTTAAATAAGGAGCCATCCAAAACACTTAGCAAAAAAAAAATATTTTTAATTTCACCAATTAGCTTCTCACTCACAGAAGCTTTTATTGACTAAAATCCAGTTGACCATGCTTACAGGTGTGGAAACGAAGTCTGCCAAGACACTCACACGGGAACAGCCAGTGAAAACACTCTGTGAGATGGCTTTTGGCATACAGGAAAGGCTGTTTTTGATTTTATGCAGCACAACTTTCTGGTACACATAATCAATCAGTTTCAGCTGGTGCCTTGACAGATGGACCTAGAGTGAAAAATAAAATCCCCTACAGGTGGAAATAACTAACGTCAGCAGTGAATTTGAGCATCAATAAGCTTCCTCATAGGTGCAGGGTAATGTGGGTTACTGTGAGAACACAGATCTGAGTCAGCTGGAGAACAGAAAGAAGCATGCCCAGCTCAGCTAAGGTGACCTTGGGGATTTCAACAGAAGCATTCACATTCTCCCTCCACAAGGTCAAGGACATGGAGTAAAGAGACTAATGCTTTCAAATATATGAGTCAATGCACCCTGAGAAGAGGACTCTGTGCACTGAGGATTTATCAAACTCAGAGTGCCTTCCTGGACTCCGTCCCCACAGAACTCTTATATACCCAGCAGCAGGCTTTTACATGGAGGAAATCCTGCTGCTAAGAGGAGCAGGGCACAAGCATCACTGAGACTTTTCTGTCTCTTTGTCTACAATATCCATGATTACCGGTCATTTGAGGAAAGCAACAGCTGGGAGTTGTGGGGCATGCCTGAAATCATAGGAAGCCAAGGTAGGAGTTTGGGGCCAGCCTGGGCTACATGGCAAAACCTCCTCCACCTCAAATAAATGAAGGGGGAAAAGGCAAGCATAAAGGAAGGGACAGGAAGTGAAGGAGCCACTGTGTCCTAAGTCTGTTTTCTGTTGCTAAGAACACAATATCAATGACTGAGTAAGTTATAAAGACAGGAGGTTTACTTTGATCCAAGGTCAAGGGGTCAAATCGTTGATCACAAGTTTGAGATCTGCTTTGGTTACAGAGTGAATTCAAAACCAACCTGGCAACAAAATGATATGCTATTTCTAATTACAGAGTAAAAATAACTAGGGATTTAACTCAGTGCTAGAGTGAGCATATGCTGGATCCTAGGCCTCATTCCTAGTACAACATACACATCTATGTACACACACACAAAATCTCTCTCTCTCATATATATATGTACGTACATGTATATAGACATATATACTTACACATACACACACACACATACACACATATATATACATATATATATATGCTAGAGAGACAGCTCAGTGGTTCAGCGCATGTATTATTCTTAAGGAGAACCAGAATTCAATTCCAAGAACCCTTGTTGGGTGATTATAACTCTATAATCACCTATAACTCTAGCTCAAGATGATCTGGTATCTTACGTCCTCAGTAGCCCATGCATAGTGGCACACACATTTAATTACAGCACTTGAGAGGCATAGGAGGGCAGATCTCTGTGAGTTTAAGACTAGCCTGGTATGCACAGAAAATTCTAGGCTAGCCAGGATGACATAGTAAGACCCTGTCTGAAAAATTTTATCTTAATACAAAAGTAATATACCATCAGATTTATAACGTGTAAAATAGAATGCATGATAATAAACATACAGAGGGCAGGAGAAAAGAAATGGAAAGTATTATAATACAGTTCTCATATGTGAAGGGATATGATATTATTTGAAAAAATGTGATAAATTTAAAGATGCATATTATTAATCTTAGAGTAAACACTAGTTTTCCATCTGTAAAAGAGAGGCATAAGAAGTCAAAAGTAGAGATAAAAATGAAATACCAAAAATACTCAATGCATCAAAAATACACAGTAAAAGTGGAGACAGTTAACAAATATGACAGGAAGATAAAAATGTCAAGTTAGAAGGCTTAAACATTAAATAAAGTATAAATGGTCTAAATGTCCTTAAAAGGCAGAGATAGTAGAACACAATTGTATCACTTAAGCTGTTCAGTGGATTTGGGACATTAACATTCCTTTGGTAGCTACCAAGAGGAGTCTCCTGAACTTACAGAAGACTACCTATTACTAAATTCCTTTTCCTGCTAAACTGTCCAATGGATCTGTGAGTCCCAGGAGGAATTGTAAGTATACAAATGAAATGGGAAATGCAGACACGTTGAGCAGATCTTGGGAGAGCTCAGTAAATCTGTTTCCTTCCCTTCCTAAATAAGCACTGTGTGCAAATGTTAATTACAGGACATGCACTAAGTTCCATCTACCAAGATGACGTGATGATGTCCCCTAGTCCCGTGACCAGGAAAGATACACAGTCTTCTAGGTCAATCCAGCCCACGTCCTGCCATTTGATTCTTTAGGTCAGGGTAATATTTAGGATGTGCAATCTACCCACAGTAAAGGCTCAAAGAAATAAAGCAATTCTAATGCTACAGGGACAACCTGTGTCTATTTTTAGCTCATAAACCCTCAATTGGAGGCCTCTTCAAGGCTTTATCGTTCCCTAATCCATGTTGTCTCATTTATAGTACTTTTATTTCCAGATTCAAATATGAACAAAAAAGTAAAACAATAACAGGAACTAAGCAGTTTACTTCTGTGTGATTTATTTCCCAAATGGACTTGCCACCTGATCAAGATTGAAGTAAGATTTATACACCGAGAGTCAGATTTGTCCATCAGGTTACCAGGGTAACCTGCATCTTGAGAAAGTGACTATCCCTCCAGCTGACGGGGTTCTAGGTTGGAGTGTTAGTCTGTATTTCTGAAGATTGTATATGTACAGCTCTTAGGAGCTCATAGGAGAAAAATGCTTTTAAAATGACCATTTTCTCCATGAGAAGGTGGGGAGCCACAGGCTTTGGTGCCTGGCTGTTGGCTTTGAACTGAAGCTCTCGTACCCACTATCTGTCTGACTGATACACTGCATCTCTGGACTCAGTTTCTTACTCTCTAACATTGGAAAGATTCAAAGTGTTTGTGAACACTCAATATAAATTATAATAGGTACTCTATCTTTATTTCACATGCTGTCCAAAGCACATGGCAATCAACAGTAGCTGCTGTCTGTTGAACTGTTACTTCACACTACCCACCCAGCAAAAGGTTCATATGTAACACCATATTTAAACGTGCATAACAAACCCTGTGTTCAGAGAGGTTAAGGCCCACCATAGAGAGCCTGTGGAAGAGTGAAAGCCTAGGCCAGGAATAGTGTGGGTGTTTCATGTGCTCATAATTATTTATTCAACACATATTTATCAAACACTTACTGTTTTAACCACTGTATAACACTGTCTTGCAGAGGTATCTTTCAGCTAACACAAAATACTGGTACTTCTCAAATCACAAAGACATTTATTTCATAATTAAATGAAGTCTTCACTCATGTTAATAATAATATTGATTTATATGTCACCCTTTTTGAGTCAGGGTCTCCATGTAGAGCCCAGTTTGGCTTTGAACTCATGATCATCCTGCCTCAGCTTTCTGAGTGCCGAGTATTCTTCCCTACAGTCGTCATTCATGTGACACACTTTTTCCAGCTAACAGGAGAGAGGAGGGTCCCACACACTCTCTGTGGACAGCGTCCCATCTGTGTGGGAGGTGAGCTCAGCACAGACAGTAGACGCTTTATTTCCTCAGATGGATTCTCTCCTTTAATCCTCACAGTACTCAGAGAGGTTCTGTTATCGTCGTAATGAGGAACTTCCAGAATACAGAATTTCTGAGACTAGGTGGGAGGGGCAGCTAAATAACTTCCTGTGGGCAGTGGAGTTGGAATTAGGGTCTAGGAAATACTGGAGGCCTGAGTTTTCAGTTAGTGGAGTTTTTCTGTTTTTGTTGTGTAAGCAGAGTTGAATTTCCCTAAGTTGAAAGTCACATGACACCATCCTGCTCTACGTCAGCAACTCCAGAAGCTAGTGTGCTCCACTGTCAGGTGTCCTTGTTATCGCCCCCAAGAGCTCCCATACTCCCTCTGGGCAGTGACTGATTTCTTTTCCTGTCATCAGAGAACCAGGCTAGGTGTGCACACAGGAGGAGCACAATACAAGTCTGGGTAAGGAAAGGGGAGCGGGAAGTAGGTAGGAGAAAGTGACTACCCCAGAACAAGCCGCAAAGGCTGCTCACCTTCAGCTTCTGTCTTTCCACCTCCACAGACGAGCGCACCGACTTCATTTCCACAGTGTGCTTCTTCACCAAGTCCTCTAGGCGCTTCCCCAGCTGCTCTCGGAGCTGCTGCTTCTCCTCTTCAGTCTGATGTCTGACTTTACGCAGGTCTTCTTCATATTTCTGCTTCATGCGTTCTATTTCACCGCTTGCTTCTTTCTTGGTCTATAAAGGGAAATAAAACTTTGTAAGACTGCTGGGGAGAGATGAGGTCCACGTTTCTTTCCTACATTTATATACTGATTTCATAGCAAGTATCAGATGGTGTGAAACATTTTACAAGACTATATATTTGATATTTGTAAGAGATTTTACTGTGTATACCATTGGAAGAGAGCTCTCTAGAATACCAAGGCTGTCATAGGATGTTCCAGCCCACAGTATAGTTTCTAAAGAACACATTGTTTTGAGTGGAAATAGGATCTAAGCAATGCCTATTTTCTCTGGTAAATACAAACTTGGGGGAAATTCTGCCACAGTCTTGTTCTCCTAGGTTTGAATGGCATTGAACGGGCAAGAAACTGGTCAGGGGCTGGAGAGATGGCTCAGTGGTTAAGAGCACTAGCTGCTTTTCTAGAGGACCCAGGTTTGACTCCCACTATCCACATGATGTCTCACAACCATTGGTACCTCCGGGTCTAGGGGATCCAATGCCCTTTTCTGGTCTTTTCAGATATCAGGCACGCAAGTGGTACCCAGACATAAATACAGGCAAAGCATCCATGCACATAAAATAAAATAAAATAAAAAGAAACCGGTGAAGTTCCGACTCTCTCTTCATCTACCCCTGAATAATGGGGCTTGAGGTTGCACGTGGATCCACCAATGTTAGGGGATGGCCTCTACTTGAAGCTCATGCCAACCTCCTGTGACTTTTCCACCCCCGCTTTTTATCAGAAGCTACCTGTGTTTCTGAGCCTCCTTCACCACAGTGACACAGCTTGGGCAAGCCTTGGTCCTGCTGAGGGTGAAGACTGCAGGCTTCCGGGTCATTGGTTTTCCTCAGGACTTCCTTCTCAGTCTTCACGTCGTCTGCAAGGGTAAGTTTCAACATCAGTTGAGATGCTCATGTCCAGGGCCTTCTGAATGTAGGTCTGCTGCTCACCCATCCTGCTTACCACGCCTCTGTGTAGTCCCTGCTAGAAGACGTCCCTGCAGCCCGCAAGTGTGGTCAATGTAATGATTCTAATCTTCATTCCAAACAGTATCCTGAGTTTAAATAATGGCCACATTCTGCTTTCCTGAATAAAAATGTTACCTCACGTTCCATGAGTTAAAAAAGTTGATCATGTTTTCTAGTATATGTATATTCATGAAAGTTTAAGGAGAAGCAAGAGATATAACTAACTCTCTCTTCCTTCCTTCCTTCCTTCCTTCCTTTCTTTTCTTTCTTTCTTTCTTTCTTTCTTTCTTTCTTTCTTTCTTTCTTCCTTCCTTCCTTCCTTCCTTCCTTCCTTCCTTCCTTCTTTCTCTCTCTCTCTCTCTCTCTCTCTCTCTCTTTCTTTCTTTCTCTATTCCCTGTTTCTAAACATTATTGTTTTAAACCCCCTGTTTCCAACATTTTAAACCTCTTTCTTCACCTTTCCAGCCTAGGGAATTTCCTCCCCCTGCCCCATGATACCTTGGTCCTCTGCTCCCTGGGCCACACCCCTATCCCAAAGCATCATGGGCTACAAAGGAACCATATCTCAAGTTTCCCAAAGACAGAGCCCATGTTTCCTGCCTTTGCCATCAACCCTGTCATAGGTCAAGTCTTCAAGAACTTTTGGTTGTGGAATCCTATAGAAAGACACTTAGAGTTAGATGTATTTAGATCTAAACACTAGCATTTATCACCAGACATTTAGCTGACCTTAATCAGCCATTTATTCTCCCTTGGCCTCACTTAATCTTCTATAACATGGGAGAATGACACCTGTCTCACAAAATTATTGGGAAGACCCAATAATGGAACTGTGTGAAATGCTGCTAAAAATACAGAACCCTGATGCAGAAGAAAAAGCAAAAATGCAGGCCTCATGGACAGCACTGTGAGGGTAAGGAGTCCCTTTGCATCAAATCTTTTAGATATCTGGCCTGTGCAGCTCCAGGTGAGGAGCTGGTGTTGACTCATCTGTACCCAGAACAGTTTTGATTCATCCTCTTAGCAGGTCCGATACAATGGCCCTGTTCCTGCTCCCTCAGTCTCGAGACTGTCCCCCAGCACCAGACCAAACCTGGTGGCTAATCCTCCTTTCGAAAGAAATCAATCCGGGACATCTTACCAGCTTTCGGTGTCACGTGACACTCCTGGAGCATCAACCTGTCTTTGGCAATAGCCAACTTCTCGCCCAGTTTTCTTGCAGTGCTCTTCAACTCTGAATTCTCCTGCCGAGCCTCCCTCAGCTGCACGTCGAGGTCCTAAACAGAGGGAAGGTCTCAGGTTTCTGAACGGGGATGCCAAGTGCCCAGAAGAGCTGCTAGATCTGAAAGGTGGCTGAGGAGGGCACAGTGGGGGTCAGGAGGTTCTAGAATTAGCAGCTCCAGAGTCAGCAAAGCCTTACCCACCCTCCAATGGTAGTGTGGCCCTGGGCAAGTTATTTATCCCTTCTCCAGAGAAGACAGGATAAGATAAAAGCATGAAGAAAATACTCGGGGAGTATTAGAAATGCTAGCTGTGGTTTTGAGAGAAACACAGAAACCTGTGCTTCTGTAGGGGCTCACAGAACTGACTCATCAATGGCTCTGCTCTCTTTGAACAAAAACGTCCTAAGGGTTTTAGGAGAGTCAAGTATTTTTACAGAATGAACACACAAAATTAAAATAATTTAGAATTAGACTTGTCAGAGTTGAAAATTTTACAGTGCGGCCACCTGGGCCAGGCATTCAGTGCCCACCCCCCATCCTGGGAATATCTTCTCATCTGTAAACTGTACGGTTTTGTGTTCCCTGAGGTTAGGGACAGTCTAGCTCACTGTGCGTCCCCTGATCATAAACCTAGACCTAGTCCAAAGTAAGTATTTATTAAATACTTGTTGAATGGATGTGGGAGAACTGATACCAGCAATAATACCGACCTTGGTGGAACTGGAGTGCTTAGCAGTCCCTGGCTAGTGGTGGGTGTCTAGAAGTAGTCTTTGCCTATTATCCCCTGCGGAGGAGGAGGAGGAGGCTTACCTGGATCCTTTCTTTCAGCTTCTGGGCATACTTCTTCAGGTCACTTATCTTGCGCCCTCTGTGTTCCAGGTCCCCTTCCAGCTTCCTGACCTGAGCCTGCAGGGCCGACTCCTGGACCTGGAAGTTCTTTCGAAGGCCTGACTCTTTCTCCTGCCACTGCCATAGGGCCTCACTGACAGACTGCTGCATGGCCTGCCGGATGGCCTCATTTTCCCGCTCATAGGTGGCCTGTAGCTCCTCTGCTTTGCGGGCATAATCCTGGCTCAGCTGCTGGTTCTCAGCTCGCAATCGCTCCACTTCCAGCAGGACCTGGTGCATCTCCGGTCGCTGGCCAGATTCTGCCGTGGCATCGGGGCTCTCTTGGGATAGCTGGCCCCACTGGGGGCCCTCATGACTGGTCAGCAGCTGGAGTCTCTTCTCATAATCAGCCTTGAGCTCCAGCATCTCCTTGGAAAGTATCAGGACTCGCTCAGCGTGCTCAGCTTCCACGCGAAGTTCTCTCTCTTTGGTTTCCAACTTACAGGAGGCTGACTCAGCCAAGGCCTCTTGGGTCAGCCTCTTCTGCAGCTCCAAGGCACTCTCCAGGGTCTGGATGCGCTTTAGAAGCACCTCTGCATCTTCACTGGTGCGTTCCTGTTCCTGCAAGAGCCTGGCCCTGGTTTCAGCCACTGCGTCCTGGAGCTCCTCCTGGTGGGCTTCCCTTAGTGACTCTGCACTGGCCTCTGCCTCATCCTGTCGAGTATTCAGGGCATAAATTACCTGCAGGACAGCAGACAGAGCACAGTTAGGGCAAGTGCATGGGAGGGTGATTGTGACCAGAGATGCTTGGCCTCGACAATGAGATCCTGTCACACATGCAGTGCCTGAGAAAAGGATTTTCAAGGTGGCCATGACTTGGTATATTCGAAATGGTTCCCAGGAGAAGCCAGTAAGGGAGCAGGGAAGTGAGACAGGCAGGTGATGGGACCAAGGTCAAGGAGTGACAAGCACAAATATTTGGGAGGGAATTTTTGGTGGAACTGTATAAAGAATCTCCTGGGTACAGTGGGAATCCAGGGAAGGGTTTTAAAGGAAAGAAACGATGTGACCTCATTTGTTAAAAATAATGCTCTGAGATACAAAAATCCAATAAAACCTTAGAGAATTGAACCCAGCAATATACTTAATAGGTGCAGGGGAAGCATTTAAAAAAAAAACACAGCATCTTTCTTTTTTTGAGAGAAGATTTCTCTGCATAGTCCTGGCTGTCCTGGAACTTGCTTTGTAGACCAGAGTGGCCTTGAACTCAGAGATCAGTCTGCCTCTGCCTCCTGAGTGCTGGGATTAAAAGTGTGCACCACCATGACTGGAAAACCCATTATCTTCCTATGAGTAAAAAAGACAAATTTTACATAGCAAACTATAATTTGAAGGGAAACTCCTCAACTTGACAGATCATATCTATGAAAACCCATGGTTAATAACCATACTCAGCCAGGCAGTGGTGGCTTGAGCCTTTAATCCCAGCACTCAGGAGACAGAAGCAGATGTAAATTCAAGTCCAGCCTGGTCTACAGAGTGAGTTCCAGGACAGCCAAGGCTACCAAAGAAATCCTGTCTTAAAAAACAAACCAAAATTGTACTCAATAAGAAAGAGTGAATATACTTTCTTCAGAAGATCAGGAACAAGGCAAGGATTATCTGTCCACTTTACTCCTAAAACAAAAGAAAGACAAAGGACGCTTGGCATGCCAAGTGGAGAATGGTATGGAAGGGGCTTAGAACCCATGCCAAGCCCAAGAATTGAGAATGATGCCCGGGAAGTTGATCTGGGAAACAGGTAGATGTTGACTGAGATTTAAAAAATCTGTAGGAAGAAAGATCTCTACAAGTCTGAGATCAGCCTGGTCTACAGAGTAAATTCTAGGCTATTCAGGGCTACATAGCAACACTCTGCCTCAAAATAATGATGATGATGATAATATTAATAATGATGATGATGATATAATAATAATAATAATAATACCCTAAAAAAAACTGAAGGTAGTCTGAGTGTGATGAAGAAAATCCGGAATTGTGCTTGGCAGTGTTTGATAAGCCTGTAAACATAACTGGTGGAGGAGACACCGAGGCAAGAGCTCAGAGGGGAAAGTCTGAGCTAGAGACGAAGGGCTGCGGCATGAAAAAAGTTACACAGTTGCCGCTGTTTGCTACAAAGGGATCTAGAATATATCGGTGTGTAAGTGGAGAATGACTGCCAGAGAACGCAAAAGCGAAGCTCCAGGAATAGAGGTAGTAAAAGATCCAATTCCCTGGAAAGGGTGTCTCACAGAGATGGGTCTTCCACAAGAGACAGAAGGAAGGGAGAGATGGGAACAGGTTCGTGGTACTTGTGACAGGAGAATGAGGAAGCCATCACATGCAGAGGTGAGAAGGTGGCATCTACATTCTCATCCAAGAACAAATTAAGGTCACCAAATAGTGGATTCCTATATTGCTTCACCTACACTTTGCAAACTGTGGCCTTCTTCTCCTGAATTCTTAGGAGGTGGAGTGTCATTTCAGGGTGCTTGGCAGAGGCTAAGCAGGTGTAAATGCTATTCTTCTCTCTGCCTGAAGAGAAGAATAGCATTTACATTAGAGATCCCCTTTTATGGAGTTTAGGAAAAAAACAAAAGGTTTCTATTGCTTTTTTAAAAAATTGAAACAATTATTAAATAGAGAATAAATCTGTTTAGAAAGGGTCTATGAGAGGAAGTTTTGGTTACCCCCTCTCTCTGTGTACATATTCATAATTACTAGATAATTCATAAAGAAGGCCAAATGCATCACCAGAGGTGGTCAGCATATCTTGATTTAACAAGAGTTTACTAGAGACCACAGATCTCGAAGGAAGAGTAAGTTCCCAGGATACAGATAACATCTGATGTTTCATTACATCCTTATGATAGTGGTATTGACTTACTTTTTGCCTTTGCTAACAGAATGCTGGCTCCATGAAAGAGGAATTTGGTTTCTTGATCATCATTATCTATCCCCATGCTTGGCTCTAAGTGGGATGCTCTCAAAAATCCTCAAATGGCTCAGTGAGAGTGACAAGGCCTGATTGAATCATAAAGTCTTAGGAAAATCAGATCCACTTTAAAAACCATGAATCCAGCATCCTGTGTGTGTGTTCTTGTTCTCAATCTCTCTCCTACTTTCTGCCTTTCTTCCTCCCTTCCCCGATGCACTCTCCGAGGAAGACTCCACAATAAATGAAGCTATTATCTCCCCAACTCCACCCTCACAACTCTGCACATTATGCACAGTATTTAGCCACTTCTGGTGGGTCTATGGTCTCCTAATGACCTTTGTCTAACAGCATATCTTTAGTAAGTGAAGTTGAAATTGATATCCCACTGGCTGTGATTTGTGTTAATAATAAAAAAAACATTTTGTGCCTACTACATGAATAGGTACTGGATACACATTTTCATTTCAGAAAATCCCCATGGTAACTCTACAAAGACGGTACTTTTTCTTCTTATTCTACCACTGAGAATTGAGTTGCAGAGAAGTTCCACAACTTTTAGAAAGCCTAAAAAGGTATAATCAGGAATATGCACACTCACTGCCCAGAACTGCAGTCTGTCTCACTGATTCTTTTAGTCATTTATTTATTTATAGATTTTCTGCACACTTGGGAAGAGCTAGGTTCCACAATAGGCACTGGAAACATACATAATTGAATTTTCAACCTTAAAAATAATACTCACTGCACTGTGGAAATGATTCAGCAGGTAAAATGCTTGCCATGAGGACTTAAATTGGCTCCCCAGGACCCAAATAAAAGCTGGGTGTGGTAACATGCCTGTAATCCCAGCATGGGAGAAAAAACAAAGCAGGATCCCTGGGTCTTGCTGGCTAATCTAGCTTAATCAGTGGTGAGCTCCAGGTTCAATGACAGACCCTATCCTAAAGAATAAGTAAATACATAAACAAACAAATAAATAAACGGTTGAGTCAGTCAGGCTTGGTAGTATACAGCATTCAGAAGACGGTGGCAGGCAGATTTCTTTGAGTTCAAGCCTGGTCTGTAAAGCTCCAGGACAGCCAGAGTTTCCCAGTAAGATAGACCCTGCATCATAAACAAACCAAACCAAAAAGATATAGACAGAGATTGATGAGGAAGCCACCTGATAGTGACTTCTAACCTCCATATATATTGATGCACACATACACACACACACACACACACACACACACACACACACACACACACACACACAATATACATAGATTGAAGTATAAATATATATTTGAAGTGTGTGTGTGTGTGTGTGTGTGTGTGTGTGTGTGTGTGTGTGTGTGTTTCAATACGTACCAGCAAGTGCTATGAGGGTCTACATGTTACTGTAGAAACAGAGGCAGGACTATGATAGGAAACACCTTCCAGAAAAAAGTGAGCCTTCCTGTCTCTTCAGTCTTAAAGTGATCAAGTCCATTTCACTGTCAATTTCTGAATGCACAAGAACAATTTCACTTCTCTGCATTCATCTACAGCACTTTAGATGAAGGGTAGGGCATAATAGGCTCATAACAAGTGTCCATAATAGAACTGCTGCAGATCATCAATAATGCATATACCTCCCTCCCACAGAGAATAATTGCTGCTAGGAACAGATGTCAAAAGAGACAGTGTTTCCTAGTCACTTGCATTGACCATCTGGGTAGATTTGCGTGGATGGGATGATGAGTTGCATTTTAGGGCCAAAATGGGGTTAAGATTACCGAAGGTAATCTTCCCAGGCCTTCCCAGTCTTCCTGTTGCCATTCACAGACATAAAACTCAGAATTTACAGGTTAGATTTAAAATGAAAAGCATCCGAGACCTGAATGACCAAGAAGGGTTGCCTACCCACTGGGAGCACTGGACATAACCCAGAAATGAACATTGAGCCCCTGACCTGGTCTCGTCTAGTATGATATTTGTTAGTTGCCCTGATGTGACAGAGGTTGTAAAGACTACCCCAGGATTGGTGATTCACTGGAGGACTCACAAGCTGAGCACATATTCATACTCATGGCTGTGATTTATTGCAGCGAAGTAAGCCAAGCAATAGCTGCCCGTGCCTGGGAGTAAAGCTGAGGGCAAGCTTCCAAGAGTCCCCTCCCACAGGAGTTAAGTCACTCAGTGAGACTTTGTGGCAATGTATGTAAAACAATCTTCCAAGGAAGTTGTGAACAAGGACAACAACAACAACAGATGTGCCAGAGTGGATGGAAAAGACCACGAGGCCTTAACCCTACACAAAAAACTACAAGCAATTAAGGAATGCTGAAGAGTGGGGGAGATATTCTTCCCCAGGGAAGAGCACACCAATTGGTTTATCCAATACCAAATGGCCCGCCCCAAAAACATACTTAAAAGTAACATTATACAGACCAGCAGATTATATTTAGGAATATATATATATATGTAACAGCAAGGAAAAAAGAGAACATGAATTTGAAAGAGAGCAAGGACAGATGTGTAGGAGGGTTTAGACTCTAATAGAGGGAAGAAAGGGAAGGGATAATGATGTAATTATAATCTCAAAAGTAAAAGAAAAAATATGTAGCAACCAAAGTTTTTACTGCTCAGGCAAACAGCCTCTACTTGACATGCACCAAAGTTCTAACCCCAAAGAAGAAAAGCAGATATTCAGTAAAAATGACATTTGAAAAGACATTTTGGGAATAGTAAGAGAACTCCTAGTGGTTTGAGCAGGAGGACCCCTCTGGAAGCTGATAATTTC